CTTTTTTCGACGTGTGATAATGAGGTTTGCTTCTCTAGTGTTTGTTTTAACTCAATGTTCCTTTCGCTTTTTGATAGACGTTTGCTATACATATGAAAAAGATGTGAGCGTCGCGCGCCAACTGAAGCGTCGGCAAATAGTCTTGTTACACATTTTTCGGTCTCACTCCCATCAGCTCAGAGAGTACAACGCTCGCTAAGGCACTTTGTTCCAGTAATAAAATGTATTTTTTTATTTATTTATTAGGATCTCCTACGAAAGATATACACAAGTAAAAAAACAGTAATTAACAGAATGGGTTTAAAGTCGGTGTACTCCTTCACTTACAGGAGACCACAGCAAGCACAGTGAAAAAATAATAATACCATCAACCATTCGAACAAAGTTACAAGCGATGTTTAAAATTTAAATTCTTAAAAGTAACAAAAAATATAATTAAAAAATTGTTATGATAAAATTTAAAAATATCGAAATAAAACAAAAAAAGACGTGTGGCACTCGGGTACTGCCGCGGTAAAGCTATTGCATAGCATTTTTTATGAACTTAGTTTTAATAAACTTAGTATTAAATAATTATCTCAGGAAAACCCTATAGAAATTTGCCCAGCCGGGAATCGAACCCAGTAATGCAGCGTTTTCAAATTCCACGGGAACGAAGTCGCGGGTACCAGGTAGTATTAAATAATTTTCTCAGGAAAACCCTATAGAATTTTGCCCGGCTCCGGAATCGAATCCACTAAGGCAGTGTTTTCAAATTCCACACGAACAAAGTCGCGGGTACCAGCTAAAAAATCTGTAGGGGCCAGATTGTTCGTCTCCTTTTCCCGGCTCAGACGAACCCAAACATGGGGTGTCCAAGTGCTCCAGGAACCGAGAGAATCAAAGGGGGGATAAATGATAAAAGTTGAAGGGTAAGGGGGAGGTATTTTGTGCGGAGCTCAATGCAATCATAAAAAAATAAGTCATCCCTCGAAAATACGGGGGGTATTTTCGAGGGATGACTTATTTCCCCCCCCCCCCCTCACCCCTCTTTAGAAAAACAGACTGAAGTGTTGTTACATGTTACGATACTTTTCAAACAAAAATCTGTAGGGGCCAGATTGTTCGTCTCCTTTTCCCGGTTCAGACAAACCCAAACATGGGAGTCCAAGTGCTCCAGGTACCGAGAAAATCAAAGAGGGGATAAATTAAAAAAGTGGAGGGGAGAGAAGGGGAGGTATTTTGAAGGGACCTCAATGCAATTATAAAATTTTTGGTGGGTGGGGTATTGTATGTGGATGTTATTACATTAATAAAAATAAACTGGTCTCCCCCCTTTGTCATGTCAAAAGAACACCCTACCTTAAAAAAAGTTCTGCTATTCATCGATGGATGGCAAAACTATAAAGTATCGCCGCTGTGCCAGTCGGAGTTATTTTCGTTACGGAATTTCTGGATTCGGTCTCCAAGCTAAAGGCCCGCGATAGAAGCTATGCAATAGCTTAAAAGTAATAATAAAAACGTTGAGGCTTACATTACATTAAAGCTGTAAGACAAACATAGGCATATATCTAAATCAGTCGTTTTGGCTAACGTGTTATATTGCCTACTGCCTACAAAGTCTTGGCACAGCAGCGTAATGACCCAGGTTTGTATTATAGCCAGGAATATAAAATAGGCTAAAAGTGTTATGCCTGGGGGTCCTAGTTGGAATTTGAATGGGCAATGAGCTCAAAAGCTCACTGCAATCTATTGATCCGCTTAGTACCTTGTGAAGGATAATGAAGTCCAGCTTCTTCCTACGACTAGCTAAAGTATCCATATTATAGTGTCTCTACCTGTTAGTGTAGTTCGTAAGTTGCTTAGCTAAGTGATCACCGTAGCACAGGTGATAGAGGAACCGCTTTTGAACACTTTCTATCCGTTTGGTGCATACCTCGTAGTGCAGATTCCATACCACTGAATTGTATTCTAAGATAGGGTGGACTAATGTGTTGCAAAACCTGTTTTTTGTAGATAGGTTCTTAAATTCTTTACTGTTTCTCAAAACAAAGCCCAGTGCTGGAAAGTCTTTAGAGACAACATTTAGAATGTGGTAATTGAACTTTAGTGTTTGGTCGAGTTGAACTCCAAGGTCACGCACACTTCCCTGTCTCTCAATTTCAATACCCTCAATGTAGTACTTGTTGTCTAACATTTTCTTATTACATGTGAACTGAAGATGGTGACATGTAGTGACATTTAAAGACATTTTGTTAAGTTTACACCAGTTTACAAGGCGGTTAATGTCTTCTTGAAGCATTTTAGAGTCCAACATGCTTTGTATTGGCTTCATTATCTTTAAATCGTCAGCAAAAAGGTAATACCGGGAGTGATTGAAGCATTTAGTTATGTCGTTTATAAAAACGTTGAAAAGAATCGGACCCAAATGCGATCCTTGTGGGATTCCCGACGTTGCTAGAAAGCCTCGAGAGAAGTGACCGTTAATTACCACTTTTGACTCTCTGTTTACAAGGTAAGATTGAAACCACCCAATCAGCGTTTCCCCCACGCCCAGTTGAACCAATTTGAGAATAAGAAGGTGGTGATCTACTTTATCAAATGCTTTTCTGAAATCGGTGTAGATGGCATCTACCGGAATACGATTGTCAAGACTCTTAGATAAAGCTGATGTAAAACATAATAGGTTGGTATTGGTTGATCTAGATTTAACGAAACCATCAGATGTTTGCATACAAGTTTTTCAAACTGATTTAAATATAGGTATTACAAGAGCTTCTTTCCAGGTACTAGGAAAGATACTGTCGCTTAGAGATTTATTAAATATTGTTTGTAGGGGTGATGCTAGAGCATTATTTTGCACAACGTTTTATGAATACAGGAGGACTACCATCACTACCCGCATCCTTAGTTTCATCTAATCCTATAAGTTCGCTGTATATTTCTTTGGTTTCAAACTGTAGATTACAAAATGCCGCAGACGTGATAACTTGCGAAGTGTTCGCGGGACTTGGGTACTTATCGTCAGGGGTACTAAAGTTCCCAGCGAAATTATTTCTAAACATATTACAGATTTCCTTTCCGCCTACTGCGATTTTGCTATCCATAGACATTTGTGCCGGATATGTACTAATATCTTTTCTTTTACTTTTTACAAAAGACCAGAATGTTTTAGGGTTCTTGGTTATGGCGTTTTCTATATTTGCAATAAAACTCTTGTAGCATGCTGAATTCAATACCTTGCATTCATTCCGTAACACCTCAAAAGCCACTTGGTCTAGTGAATTTTTGTATTTTTTAAAACGGACGTGTTATTTGTATTTTTCTCTAAGAAGTCGTATCATTACACGAGAATACCAAGGTGGATATTTATTATTCCTGTTTTTTTTTTCATAGGTATAACCTATGAACCTAATAACCGTATAATATCTGTAATGTAGGTATTACACAATACTAAATCTAATATTTTAGATTTATTATTGACGATATTATTGTACTGATTTAGACCATTTAATGTCATAAACTCCGACAGTATCGTATTTATTTCGGAGTTGTTAGGTTCAAGGTACAAGTGCTCAGAGTTGTTATGGCTAAGCCATTGCACATTAGAAAGATTTAAATCTCCTAAAATCAAAATTAGTTCATCTTTATTTAATACCTTTTGGACGTTATTGGTAAACAACTCAAGTGTTTCACTATGGATAGGTGGTGGCAGGTATACTCCGCTCACGTACAGTTTATGGTGACATAAACAGATCAGAACCGACATGAAGTACTAATCCTATAGCGTGGTTTGTAAATAAATATTTGTTTACAATTATATAACACTGGTAGCTAAGTATATCTCAATTAATTTTCTAAGTAAGCTAGAGGAATATTCGAGATGTTTGAACTTGTTTTAACTTTACATAAAATGATACCCGGTAGTGTACTTTACCGGCTCGTACACTAAGTAGATTTTTACGTCCATCTTTTTTCAGACAGACAAATATGGTACAAAAAATAATAAAAACATTTCACTAACTTGTTTAACTCATTAAATGAATATGAACTCAAGGAACATAAAAAAATGATAGTGTAATGTTTTATAACGAAATCTTTGGAAGTGTGTCAAAAATTCAGTTCATTCAACACATTCTATGCCCCGGTGAATTTCGTTTTACCTAAAAAAAAATATAGAAAGTCAACTCACACATTTAGGAACATATACTGTACGGGGAATTCACAAAAATTCATAAAACGGACACAAAGAACACGCAGACTCAAAATAACAATTTGTGGATCACATAAAGTGTTGTCCCATGGGGTTGTGGGGGATCCAACCCACAACACTAAGCGCAGTAGTAAGCGGCGAAGTGACCACTTAAACCACTACTAAACATAATCTAAATACCTATTTTTTAAACCTATTTTATAATTTGGATATTCATTTTCGATTAATGCCCCCCCCCCCCCCCCCCCCTATTTAATACCTTTCTTAATAGTTTATCGTACGAACGTCTTATGTATATACCACATAAATGTTAGAAAAAATGGAAATTTATGTATGGTTTTTTTTTTCTATTTCTTCCAAATTTTCTTACCCTTTAAACTTTCCCTGGACTTCTACAAATATTTCGAGACTAAAATTGGTCAAATCGATTTAGCCAATCCTGAATTTTAGTAACACTAATGAACAGCAATTCATTTTTATATATTAGAGAAGATGTGAAAATTGAAATTTGTGTCCGTAAGTCTTGTCAGCTTTAGACTGCAGAATCAGGCGTCATGTATTTTTCCTCTTCGTGCAAATATTAATTTCTACGTATGTTATAACATGTATTCATAACCTTTTTGTCTGTGTCAACCAACAAGCAATGCTACTATGCCCCAGCCTATTGTATTCAACACAATTCCACTATATAACACACAACTTGAAATGATATTTCTATTTACTATCTATTTAGATATAAAATAACGATATACTCATTAATAACCGCATTCGCCGTTTAGTTTTAGACTGCTAAGCGGACCGATACAACATGTTTTTATTACTGCTACCATTCACACTTATGCTCGTGTACTTTTATCTCACAAAAAATTACGACTACTGGGCGCGACGCAATGTGAAACATGATCGCCCTGTACCATTATTTGGCAACCTGTTCAGCAATATCATTGGAAAAAAGAGCATCACAGAAATAACAAAAGAAATGTACAATAAATACCCCAATGAGAAAGTTGTTGGATTGTATCTTGGAACCACCCCGGAGCTGATTATTCGTGACTTGGATATCGTCAAAAGAATTCTAACAACGGACTTTCCTTGTTTCTACTCACGGGGACTTGGCCGTAGTGCTAAAATAGAACCTTTGTTCTTAAATCTTTTCCACGTAAATGGTGATACCTGGAAGTTATTGCGACAACGACTAACACCAGCTTTTACAAGTGCAAAGTTAAAAAAAATGTTTCCGTTGGTCGTGGAATGTGCTGCAAAGCTTCAAGCTACCTCCGAGGACATTGTGAATAAAGGTGGTGAATGTGATGTTCGCAATCTGATGGCGCGTTTTACTATTGAATTTATTGGAGCCTGTGGCTTCGGATTACAAATGGATACCATTCGCAATGAAAATTCTCTTTTTTTAACCTTGGGTACAGACATTTTTAATCGTAATCGATCTTGGAACCACGCAGCTTTAGAAGCCTTGTATGACGTGTTTCCAAACTTCAGGACATTGATGCAAATTTTCTTAAAGGACTCGTTATCGGACATAATCACTAAAATTGTTGTAGATGTCCGAAATCAGAGAAATAATAAACCCTCCGGACGACACGACTTCATAGACTTGTTATTGGAACTAGAAGAGAAAGGGAAAATAACGACAGAGTCTATTGAAACGCAAGATCCAGATGGAAAACCAAACCTAGTTGAAATGGAATTGGATTTGAAGTGTATGGTGGCACAAGTGTTTGTATTTTTTGCCGCTGGATTTGAGACTTCTTCTTCGGCTACAAGCTACATGTTACATGAACTAGCTTTCCATCCTGAAGAGCAGCTTAAAGTTCAAGAGGAAATCGATCAAGTCTTGTCTAAGTATGGGAACAAACTCTGTTATGACTCAATCGCTGATATGACATTATTAAGCATGTGCTTCAAGGAGGCTATGAGGAAGTTTCCATCTCTAGGCACCTTGCACAGAGAGTGCGTTAAGCGATACACAATTCCTGAACTGGGTATTACCCTTGATCCTGGAGTTAAGATCATAATTCCAGTGGAAGCGATACAATACGATGAAAAGTATTTCGACAATCCCTTCCAGTTTAAACCGGAGAGATTTGCTGATACATTTAAACTAAAACATAGCTGTTCGTATTTGCCGTTCGGGGCGGGGCATAGATCGTGTATTGGTAAGTTACAAACTCAAAATGCATTTGGTAATCTTTCTCCTTCTTCCGACGAGCCTTTTTCCCAAACTAGGTTGAGGTCGGCTTTAAGTCTACTACGACGCGGCTGAACTTTTTTTTTTCTGAGTGGACTGCCATCTGGTCTGGAGTGACTGCACTCAGACCTCATCAACCCAAGTACAAGGCGATATCGATATATGTATAGATTATAGTCAGACTTTTTAGGGCTCCAACTACCCGTAACGATTGCTATAGATGTTAATGTAAATTAAATTTGGTAATTACCACTAATAAATTAAATAAATTCTGTTCTCTTGATCAAAATAGGCGTTTGACTTGACAAGAATAAAACTTTAATAATGTGTCATATATGCGGTTCACAGTAATAAGCTTGCCCCCAATACGTAAATGGGACTAAACGTACAGGCGGCAAAATTTGGCGTTTAATACTCCTTTATCCGCCCTTTCGACGATAAGACGTGAGTCTATATATGTATAATATTATTCGTTGTGTTAGAAATATAATAAAAAGAAAAACAATAAGGAATTTTAGAAATTAACATCTAATTTCTTTGAATCTTATGTACTTATTAATTTATAAAATTTTATATATTAATATCACTTATAAATTTAATTTAATATAATTTAATTAATATAATAATATATCCGTGTGGTGACGGATTTCTTAATCCGTCCGTATTCTTATACGGCATGTCGCCACCCCTATTTATCCCGTGGGTGTTGCAAGGCACTAAACTATGCAGGACAAGAGAACTGCATAAAGAAGGAAAACCCTATACCAACCCGTCTATCCAGCGTAGTATAGCAGGCCAAAACCTCCTTTCTAAGGAGGGGCCTATGTCAAGCAGGGGACTACTAAAGGCTATTAATGTGATTTGATGATGAATTAATTTAAAAATAATTCTTAAACGATTAACTTTACTCGAACTGCTTTATAGTAACCATATCAGAATATTCTTTATTTCATTGCTTGCATATTTAACGAGATATTTATTTCTTCGATTAACTTAAAAACCATAAATAATATAATAGTATTATTTCTTTGTTTCAGGGGCCCGTCTAGGTGAAATGCAATCCTTGGCAGGTGTGGCAGCGTTGCTATACAAGTTCAGTGTGGAGCCAAGTTCCTCGACGAAACAAAAACTAGAAGTGAATCATACTAGCAACACAGTTCAATCCATTAAGGGAGGACTGCCCTTGAAATTGAAATTAAGAAAGAAAAATATTGATATTACCACGTAAATCATTGATACAGATATGTATCTTTTAAATATATCTTAAATGCCAAAATAATGCTAAGGATATGTTTTTTTTAAATAACATAACACAGTTAAATAAAAATCATAAGATTTGTGTTCAATAAAAATTTGAGACTTCAAATTAGATTTACAAAGAAATACTTTTCGTTTATCGACCATATTATACAAGTGAAAAACATAATATATGTAATATGCTTTTAAATAAAACATACTACGGTACATAAAACTGAAAATTTTATGTTTGTGATAAGAAAATACCCTCATGATTATTTTAAACTCCTTCAGTTTTATTTGTCAGATTATGACATATAAAACTCCTTCGAGTATGCTTAAATAAAAAAAAAACTCATCATATTTGTCAGATTTCTACATTGATATGTTATTATATAAATATTTGCTATAAATCATCTCAAAGATGAAGTATTTTTAAAAATAGTAGAAAGTTAAATTATAACAAACGAAATTAACGTTTTAATATCACCAGACACTACATTTCAAATAAATACATGGCACTCGCACATGTCACTGTTTACCATGGGCCGTGCCTCTCGTTTCACACCATGGAGCATAAGCCACAGAAGTTAACCGGCCTACGAAGCAAGTATATAATCACGTCCTATAATTTCTTTCCTTCAGCACAAAGTCACACGCCAGTTCAAATGGGATGACCAACTGAATGACTCGTTAACTATAAGATTATCTCGATCTTTATTATGGATACAATTTCAAATGAACGACCCTGAGGATACACACATTTTACTATTGCATTTCATAACACGAAATGGGTCATTGGTCATCCCTTGGTAAGTGTATAGGTACAACCGCCCATGAAAACCTGCAACTCAGAGTCACAATCACTAGAACTATCAGTCAGATTTAAATATTGGTCTTCAAGAATTAGATATATTTATTAGGGATTAATTTAGACTTTAAACCATCACGCTACAGCGCCTAGAAGCGGGAAAAATGGCTAAAAACGTAAGTGAAATTGTGAGAAACTAATGATATTCTCAAAAAGTTCAAGATTCTATTTCTGTATTTTGGATATCGATAAACATCATTTTGGATTTGAAATAATTACAATCGCCGAGTGTAATGAAATAGAAAAACCGCTACCTTAAGGTTTTTAGATTTTTTTAACGAAATAGCAGAGCCTCTTAGGGACTAATTTCCTGATCAATGAAATCTTAACTATGATAATATGCACACAGTCGTAAATCTTTCGTCTTTCTAGTTCATATTTTAATATGAAGTATTGTACTTAATAAATATTTAGTGATCGACTAAAGGTTCGGTTTCGCTTTCGGGCAGTTTCGGCCAAAAAATGTAGTTTCGGTTTCGACCAAAATTGGCCGAATGTTACAGCCACACCAAAAGTCAGTGTTCCTAAACTGTCGGGTTACTTTCGCGGCTTACTCGTGGACATCGGCTCTGGCTCAGTTCGCAGCCGTCCAGTGCTATCTTTTTTTATGGTGTTGCAAGCGAGCAGACGAATGATCGAATGATGGTCAGTGACTACCGCTGCCCATGGATACCTGCAACTTAAGAGTCACTTTTTTTTTTTTTTTTTTTTTTTTTTTTTTTTTTTGAATTCTGTAACTTGGCAATCTGTGTCAACACAATAAGCCATTCAGATGAGGTATCTTGATATGTATGTATTTTAGCAGAAGGTATTCATAAGAGTACGTTTCATCTGGTGTCACCAAATCTCACGGTTAGTGTAGAGACACTATGCCGTTTCAATCGGGAATATACAATACTCCCTTTGCCTTCCAGTTTGGATGCTAATTCGTTGACGTGAGTTGATATTCTCGTCTGATAGTTTTCACTATATCTAGCGATCTCTTGTTTGACGGTAGTGATCTTTAGGTCCTCGTGTATATATTTGTTGCTCACATAGTAGGGTATATCCAGCATGGCTCTCAAAGTCTTGCTTTGAAATCTTTCAAGAATCTCTATGTTGCTATTGCTAGCAGTACCCCACAGCTGGATCCCGTAAGTCCAGATTGGTTTAAGGATGGTCTTGTAAATAGCTATCTTGCTTTCATGTGAGAGGCTTGATTTGCGTCCTATCAGCCAGTACATGGATCTGACTTTCGTATCCAGCTGTTTACGCTTGGTCCAGATATGCTTTCTCCAGGTGAGTCTTCGATCCAGATGCATACCCAAATATCTGGCATCTTCAGCTTGAGGAATTTCTTCATTATAAATCCTTATTGGGGGACAAGTCTGCCTTCTCAAGGTGAAGGTCACATGGACAGATTTTCCTTGATTAACCCTAATACGCCATTTATCTAGCCACTTTTCCACTTCATGGATGTGGGTTTGTATGTTGGCCGATGCTATAGCGGGATCCACGTGTACCGACAAAAGGGCTGTATCATCCGCATACGTGGCAGTCACAGTATCAACGTGCGTTGGAAGGTCTGCGGTAAAAAGCAAATACAGGATGGGTCCCAATATACTTCCCTGTGGTACTCCTGAGAGAATTTCGTTTAAAGGCGTAACTTCGTTGTTAAATTTCACCTCAAAGCATCTACTGTGTAGGTACGATCGTAGAATCGGAAAGAAGGAGTGAGGGAGCAGCTTTTTAATTTTGAAGAGAAGTCCTTCATGCCACACTCTGTCGAACGCCTGACTAATATCAAGAAAGACCGCAGAGCAGAACTGTTTGCATTCTAGTGCACGACTTATTGTATCCGTAATACGGTGGATCTGTTCGATAGTTCCATGTTGCTCTCGGAAGCCAAACTGGTGAAGAGGAATAATTTCTGGTAAATAGGGGCGCATCCTGTTCAGTAGTATTTTTTCGAAGAGTTTACCCAAAACAGGGAGTAGGCTTATTGGTCTGTAGGAGCTTACATCATGGGGCGGTTTTCCTGGTTTGGGTATCATTATAACCTGCGCAATTTTCCACTGGGCGGGGTAAATTGCTAGTCTTAGGCAAGCATTATAGATATCTGCAATGTGAATAATGCCCTTTCCAGGCAGCTGCTTGAGTAGCTCTGCGTCGATCAAATCGTAGCCAGGTGTTTTACCCTTCTGTAGTTGTAGGATTTCTTTCCGTAGTTCGTTGGGGCTAGCACTTTTTAGTGGTAGACTCATTTGCAAAGGTGCGTCCAGATATTCGGTGACTTCCTTGACGTGTTCAGGATCCTTGCTTGGTAAGGGTCTGAAGATAGTTTTTAGGTATTCCGCGTATACTTGGGCCTTTTCAAGTTCTGTTTTTGCCCACTTGCCATCAGAAGCTTTTATGGGTGGTATGTGTTCCTTCGGTCGTTTTAGCCTTTTTGTTATCTTCCATAGAGAGTAGTTGGTGTCTATAGAAGGAGTAAGGTCAGTTAATTGTTTTTGTAAACGCTCGTTTTCTGCTTGACAGATCATGTGCTTAAGTTCCTCAGAAGCCCTGTTGAAAGCTTTTTTGTCACAGGGATATTTCGTAGAGTGCCATTTTTTCCGCAGCAGCCTTCTTTCATTTACTTTGTCCTTTATTAGTTTGGGGTAGTGAGCAATTTGTGTTGTTTTCGGTCTTAGATAAGACGTAGATTCTTTCGCCGCTAAGTGAATAAGCTTACTGAGAGTTTCGATAGCTGTTTCAACTCTATCTACATTATTAAGTGGCAAGTTCAAGTTAATGGATTCTGAGATTTTAGTTCTGTATCTGTCCCAGTCTGTTGTCCGGTTATACAGTCTTTGTTGATACTCAACTATAATAGCCTTGCAGTGAACGTTGACAATTACTGGTGTATGGTCTGACGACAGGTCAGTACATTCTTCTACGTTCATTTGTCTGAGCGGGATATTTTTGGTTATGAAAAAGTCCAATAGGTCTGGTACCTTTTGTGGGTCCGTAGGCCAGTATGTAGGAACACCATGCGAAGCGCAATGAAGGTTGAGGTCGATCGTAGCCACATAAAGTTGTCGTCCCCGTGGCGAGGTTAGTCTCGAGCCCCAGAAAGCGTGTTTTGCGTTCCAATCGCCACCGCAAATAAATCTGTTCCCTAGTGTGTTGAAGTAGGTCTTGAACTCATCTCTTGTAATGACATGCCTAGGTGGGCAGTAAATTGCAGACACTGTTGTTTCTGTTTTATTATCCTGAATCCTGACTGAAGTTGCTTGTATCTTTTCGGTTTTGGTTTCCCCAGAAAGATAATGTTTGATGTTTTCTTTTATTATGATTGCGGTTCCTCCATGTGAATTACCAGAAGGGTGGTTTGTAGTATACACCATGTAATTTTTAAGTTGGAAATGAGTTTTTGGTGTGAATCTTGTTTCTGAGATTAAAGCCACGTCCACTCTTTCAAGTTTCAAGAAGAGTTCAAGTTCCTGGCGACGTTCTGTCAGCCCGTTGGCATTCCAGGTGATTATTCTAAGGTTTAGGGGTGCTTTATAAGGCTTGTGAATAATTGGATCATACGATCCATCATGTTGTCTAACATAATATTTATTATGTTTTGAAATTTGTTGAACATGGCGTCTAGAACTTCCCCGAAATTATTTGGGTTCTTGATATCGGTTATTAATCCCGCTGTGTTTTCTTGTTTTGTCACTTGTGCATATGTGATATTTGGTTTCGAGTGATTGAAGAGATTGTAGTTCTTAGTTTGGTGGTTTTCTTGTACAGTTTGTGTCGGGTTTTTGCGGTATTGATTTTGCGTTATGTTGTTTGTGTTCCCATTTCTTTCTTTGCCCTTTCCTGTCTTGTTTTTCGAAAGTAAGTCTTTGTATTGTTTGTACTTTATGCAGCCTTTGTAACTTGCTGGATGTTTTTCTTGGCAGTTGGCACAAGTTGCCTCGGTGTCCGGTCTTTTTAAACAGCTTGTTGTTGAGTGTTCTTCTCCGCATTTTACACATCTGAATGGTCTGTTGCACTGGTTTTTTGCATGTCCAAATCTTTGACATCTTTTACATTGCAAAATGTCTAGCTTTTTGTATGGTGCTTCAAATGAGACTTTTACGTAATTCACTCTGTTGATTTTAAAAATTTCTTTGTTGTTGTGTTTAGGCTCAAGGTCTACATAGAATAAGGGTAGCGGTTGTTTTGTGTTTTTGTGTTGTACATTTGTGATGTGCCGTACTTCATGCCCAAGTTCGAAGAGCTCTTTTTTAATTAGTTCTGTGTCTTCTGATGAGTGAAGACCACGTAATACTACTCTGTAGGCTCTTTCGCTTTTAAGTTTGTATGTGTAATGACTAACGTTATTTTCTATAAAGTTAGCTCTTATGTTTTTATACGTGTCTACGTCACCAGGCATTATTTTAACTATGTGTCCTGACCTCAGAGTTGTCATAGTATATTTGTCGGTATTTACAATTGAGGAGAGGATTTTCTTTAATGTCGTTATGTCTATAACTCCCGTGACAAATATGGGTTCTGGCTTTGGCGGTTTAGGCTCCTTAGGTTGTTGACTGGGTTCGTCGTGTGTTGCTGACTCTAAGATTTGGAATCTGTTTTCTGTTGTTACTGCATATGTTGTCTTATTTACTTTAGTATTATTCTTTGTCCGTTCAGGACTAGATTCCGCTTTCCTTTTCATAGGCACCTGATCGTTTTGCCATGGTTGATTTGTTTTAGCTTGTGCATCATTCGTATCAGATGTATTCGATTCCTCTTGCACTTTATCTTTTGGAATTGTTTGATTTGGTGTTTCAATTAGTAGAGTTCCAAGTGAGGGGCTCCTTACACGTGCAAACATGCTTTTTTGGAGTACTTGTTGTGTCATCTTTGGCTTGTTTTGGTTTTCTTTTTCATTATTCATGCTCATTTTGTTCCCACGAGTAGGGTCGATATAAAAGGTCACTTGAAGGGTGACGCCCATTCCTCCAAGAAGGCGATCTTCAACGACGTTTGCCATGTCCGCCGAGGTTGGCGCTCGATACTGATCTCCCACCAGTCATGCATTCCATTGGCACGTGTCCCACCGTGGAATTGGGGTGATTGTTTTATAGAGGTTTTCTTCCTCTCAGCCCGGGCAATTAAGCCAAGACTCCCGATCGCTGAGTAGCGGTTGCGGGCGTGAGTATTCATTTCCTAACACCCACTGTTGTCTGACTGGTTAGGCCAGTATTGTCGGGTTATTTAACCGCCGCCCGAGACCCGGCGTTGAGGTTCGTTTAGCACCACCCGGGGGGCACGTGTAGGGTTTTCTTCAGGTATCCTTCCTACGGACGCGAACCAGTCCACCCCCCTTAAGAGTCACTAAACCACTGTTTTCTCCTCCGCCCCCCTCCCCACCCAGATTCAGGGGAAAGGGAAGAGTTTGGGCTCGGGTAACCTCTCTCACTCACAAAGAACTGCTTAACACAGGTTTTCTGTGAGGCCGTGGTACCACTCCGGTACCACTACCTATCGCGTGAGGTACCTCATTAATTTAGACAGGTGTTTTTTTTTATCGACCTACCTAAACACATTTTCTCTTATTAAGAATTGATGCCATGTGTCTACCTTATTACAGTGGTTTGAGGTGGAATGTAAGTATAAGCAGATAAACGACTAAAGAATACATTCGATTTCAGTATACAGTAGAAATTTTAAAATGATAGTTTTGGTTACGGTTTCGGCCGAAACTAAAACAAAAGCCAAAAGTTCGGTTTTGGCTGTAAACCCTGTTTCGGTTGGAAACAGTTAAAAATATTTAGTACATCTATATCATGCCTATTTTAGTGCAGTAAATAAGATCAGGCCTTGTCTTTTCGATATTCAAATACAGGAACATAATAATTCGGGACGCATAAATACTCTATACTGCTGTGACTCTCAATATTACTACTATTATGAGCCAAAAGGTAATTACCACCTTAAACGCATAGGTATAGGACATATGAACTAAGTACTCATTTACCCACTACATATATGTACCTAAGTCTGTAGGTACCTACTACTTTTTTGCACGATGTGATCTCTTTTTAATTGAGTAAACATGAGACCACCTATAACTTTCAAGACGTATCAGTTAACCTTTCAAGTTTCAAGAGCTCCTTATAAATAAATAAAGAATGTAATTTTTTATTTATTATATTAATAAAATTGACAGATCGGCTCATGAAGCTTGGTTACAAAGTGGACTTGATCCCTGTTGATCACGTCAACTACTGTATGCTGGAAATGTGCAGTCATGAAGTAAGTCTGTATGTCCTTATTTTGTTCGACTATACCTTAAAAAAGTAGTGTACTTAAATGTTTTCTTAAGTATTGTTTTTGTTAGTTTAGCGATTCGAGACTAACGATACCTATCATTTTCCTGAGTTATTTCGCGCGAATCGTGGTCCTTTCTCCAAACTACCTTCTTCCTTTGTCTTCACCGAAAATAAATTCAATTTCAAAGTAAAATTGGCTTTGGGCAGGCGACGCCATTAAGAAACTAGCCCTTGAAACTAGGTGAAGTTGGACGAAGTCGGAGGTAGTTGATGATGACCCTAAATGGGTGCTAAGAAGGCATTTTTTGAGTTACCACCACTACTATGTGAAAAGCGGCATTTTACCCTCCAACACTACTGAAGTACTATATTAAACAGGTTTTGTCACACTTACACTTCAACGTTTTACGTCCATGGGCCGGCTCGACCGAAGTGTTGCCACGGCCCCACGAGAAAACGGTGTTGTGTAATTTCGCATCGTAACTTTTAACGGAGTGAGGTTAGACAGCTTTTATTAAGATATCCGTGTGGTGACGGATGAAGAATACAGTGTCACCAACACGGATATCTTGTGCCGTGGGTCTCGTAAGAGCCGACTATGGGAACAACATTTTTAGGATAACAGCACTGCAAACAGAAAACTTGACACAAACCCTATACCGACCCGCCTGGCCATAATAGGCCAAAACCTCTTTTCTAAGGAGAGGCCTATGTTCAGCAGTGCGCTATTAAAGGCTGTTTATGATAATGAGTGAGGTTGCTTACCATTAAATGCTTACTCTACTGCTCGTTTGTCCCCCTTTACCATAACAAAAAAACATGTCGCCTCCTGCAACCATTGCACCAAAGAGGTCATTGACCTCAAGTCCCAGACACCTAAATATTGAATCCCATTAATCTGATTAAGTTTACAGTGATAGCGCGATATTACCAAATACAATTTTAAAGTAGGAATACATCTTGTGTTGCAAGGGACCTTACAAACATTCATGAAACGGACATAAAGACCACCCAGACTCTTTGTGGCTCATACAACGTATTGTCCCATGTGGGGATCGAACCCACAACACTCAGCGCAGTCAAAAGCTGCGAGGCGACCGCTTAAACCACTACGCTATCCGTGCAGACATAATAAATAATTGTGATGAAAAAATTAAACATATAAAAATATCAAAAATGCAGGTTATGTTATAAAACAATAAAATGTATTTCGATTTTCTAAATAGCTTTAATACAGCGGTAGTTTCAATAAACGTTTAATATGTAAAACATATAAACAGAAGCCGCAACTGAGGTCAAACAATATCCTGTGTATCGTTATCAGAAATTGTTTATAAGCTTGACAGGGCATTGAATACCATGTCACTTATTTTGCGCGTGGCATCCCTCCACGGGCCTCACCCTTCCAGGACGGCGCATCGGAATCGAGCCGACTAAAACCACACGGTGTGCCATACCGCCCCTTAAATCGAAAGGATCTCGGAACAGCTTTAAGATATCCGGAGTGGGAGTAAGTACCTGCAAAACCCCTAAAATGTAAATACCTAACTGCTTTCTTTGTTGTAGATATTTCGTTGCAACCTAAAAAACTTGCACTTTAACACGCACTACCGACGGGATCCTGTATGCCAGCGAGCAGTGGAAGCCGTCATACAATCAGCAGAAAAGTTCAAACAAGCTCGCATCCATCTGTGGTGCTGGACATATTTAGACTACCAGATGTTCAGGCGTGGTATGTACACACCTAAGGACTACTGGCCCAACGACGTGGAATTACCGAAACCTTACGTTTCGTGTGCTGATTGTGTGGAATGCTGCAAAATTGTACTCAAGAAAAAAGAAGAAACTTCCCAAGATCTTACAAAATAATATCAAACATAAGGCTCAAAATAAAATTAAGTATGTATGCAAATCAGTTCCAATTTATTTTTAATAAAAAAAAACACTGGGTGATATCCGTCACGTAACTTCCTTTTACTCCTCCTCTCTTGAAGCGTAAGTAAATGAAGATATCAAGCCGTCGAGCGGCGGCCGGAAAACACCTAATGCTACGCAACATAGAGGCAAAATGCGAGAGTACTATTAAAATGTAAATAAAATAAACAATATAACATTGAAATATGGGTTGCGTAGGTATGCGACTCATTACTACATGCCTGTACAGATGCACTTACTGCAAGGTTGCTCGAAAAAACCACGTTCGAATACCCATACTCTTTTAAAAAGATACAGGTTGGTCAATAAAGTACGTCCAAAAAGTCAACTCACTGCTAAGGTTTTGCGTGCTTTATGTGGTCCGTCACATATTTCCAAAGAACAGAGAATAAGTTATTCTCTGTTCTGTTAGAATAAGTTATATGGGCTCACCTCGGCACATATGGCCATGGTTTAGCACACATGGCCGCCGCCAAGAGAGTACGCCAATTTCAGAGGGGGTTCTGCGCATTCAAAAGGGCAGTAAAGTATTTGTGGCTCTTGGGTTACAGGTTTCCATGGGCGGTGGTTGTCACACTGATGGTAATCAGGTGACCCGGCTGCTCGTTTGACTAACTAAAAACACTGGGTGTAGGAAAAAAGCTTCGATCCATTGCATTTATCAGTTCACACCTGCCTTGATATATACTCTGCGGTGTGGTACTCGAGTACTCATTTTAAGCAAAACGGAAACATATTTGCTGCTGGAAAGTTGTAAAAGAATTCAATGGTGATTCCCGTTCAAACGACAGTAAGTAAACAACAAAACGCCTGAATGGTTTTCAGTTTAACACAAAACAGTTCAAGATAACAATATCTTTAACATTATACTTAACTAGCTGTTTTGCTATTTACTCGTACATTATTTTAATATTTTTTTTCTTGAATTTCTTAAAATCCGTTCTACTCGGTGAAAAGAATATTCCTACCAAATTTCAAGTCTAGCTCTAATGGTTCCAGAGATATCGTGATGAGTGACTATATACGTGGAAATCTCTTATATATATATATATATATATATATATAGATTAGGTAAAGCAGATTTCATCATAAGGTACATCTGGTTTCCAGATCTAACATGTATAATATGAACAGATTGCATTCGACATAAGAAACAAATTACCTACAATTTCATAAATAATTTTATTAAATTTACAATGGTGAAATAATATCCAATTACGATTAATAGATACAAGTTTAAGATAACTTCATACACCTAACATGGAATTAACAATTAAAAAAATAATGTGTTTTATTGCTCAACGGAGAACTGAATCGCCGCCGGCCGACACGCCCTAGGCAACTGTAAAAAAATACCAAATACATACCAAATATTTGTACACAAATCATCGATAAATTTATCATACAACCAGTCAACCGCGGAACAATACGTACGAACAGACTTTACACTGATTTTTTTGTTCCTTTCGTTAGCTCTCGCGAGCTTTAGATTTAATACAGAAAGATATATTAAGACATGTCTCTGTATGTAGTTATACAATTCTCTGGTACATACAGAATACCTACTGTGACCCCTATGCTAATAGTAGGTGAACAGTTGTTTAAAAAAATTTTTTTTTGGTGTAAATTATATAAAAGGAACTCAACAGAATAGTAGGAAAAAAAACAGGTTTTTGATAGAATATGAGTCACTTACAGAAAGATAGCCACAGCAAATCAAATTCTGCTAGGGTTGCCAATGCCCAAGACTTGTCACTACACAAGGAACACAACCATTACAGAAAGTTTTTAAAATAAATGATTAGTGTTTTTCTTGTTGAATATAGGGATTTTTCTTTCTTTACTTTTTTTTATTCATACTTTTTTGTAACAATTTATAATATTGTACATTAACAACAGATCCCAAGGTTCAAAATATTTACAAATTACTTCCCATTACATACCTTCCTTGAGAATATATTAAGGTGTCGTAGTATTATGTCCCTGTGCGGTTCTCACGCACGTCAATCATACAAGCACACACAAATGTATTCTTTACGTGTGTTACCGGGCTCCAGGTAATAATTGAATATACCTAATTGTATTCCTTTGTTATTTTCTCCATACTAGCTAAGAATATAACATTCCGAAAAATGAAATGATTTTGAAATAAATATTTAATGTTACAATTTGCACACAGCATTGCGTATTATTTTAAATAAATGCCAATATTTTCTTATGATAACTTTAGTTTTCATTTATTTTAATGTGGAGATATCAGACTCACTATTCATATATTTATTCTTTAACTTGGATTATATATATTTCTAGACATTGCGTCACGTTAAATTTACCTAATCAAAAACAGCCTGACTTATTACTAAAGAAATATAGACAAACCTCCAGTTCTTTTAAAAGGACTGCATATTACTATGCGTTATTATACCTTAAGCCCTTTTTTTTTTTTTTAATGAAACAAATTTAGTTATGAAACTTAATAAAACAAACCACCATTATACTACTGAACCACCTTAGATGGTCTATCTTACGAACCACGGAAAGTTTAGTTCAGTCAGAAATGTTATCTTTATGTTACATTAAAAACTGATGTTATTTAAAAACAATGTAATTATTCATTATATAAAACAATAATGCAACCTTGTGAAAATATATAAATTGGTAAAATTCGATTTATTAAATATTACTAACTACTGTGACTCGAATAATAATTTAACAGGCAACACCGAACATCGATGCCCTTGATATAAATTTAAAAAATGTGATAGCTGTTCATCTATTTTTGGGTGCTTTTTATCTATGTTTGACCTGTGATGCTACATCTAGATATATGTATAATAAATAATAATTGTTTTGGATACATTTTTTAATTCTTGGCATATGATTTAAAAAATCAATTAAATAAATTAGGTTTGTGATAACAGTAGCTCGGCCTAATGAGAATCACACAAAACTTCATCCAATGTTACAATTACAGTAACTGTAAATTGAACAACGTGAATAAAATTAATACCATAGTTATAAAAAGGAAGCTATACATTTAGTCCGATATTTTATTTAACATATAACAAGCATGTGGTATATTTATCGTGAGACTTTAACAAACAATAACTGCAGCACGAATACCACGTGCGTCCACTCCATCAGTACGGTCCAACAACGACACTTTTATATTATATTTACAATAAATAGCGCTTCTGGCTCGAGTTCACATATTGCAATTTTAACATTTGTTACTTCAAAAGGACATCCAAGTATATCTGTCACACAAAAGCATCAACTGTGTACCAAGAAATTAAATACGAAATTGACCATCGCGTTCAGTATACCAAGAGACCAACAATAGTTACTTTTGCAACAAAACATGAAGGTGGGTAAAATCTAAATAATCTTAAATTTATAAAAATGATTAATTGGTTTCTGTACGCTTCAATTCTGCACCTATTGAGCTCTTGGCAAAATATACAGCCCACTTCAAAAAAAAAATTATTCATTTTTCGCGTCAGGTTTGTTCCTAATCTCTCATCAAGGCAACCGTAATGTCACAGGCGACGATTAGCAGGATACAGCTAGTTTAAAATATGTGTTTTTGGTAGATGAAACAATTAACATTGTGGGGAACTGTCTGTGTTACCTAGAATCAGTTTATATATGTTCAGAAAATGAAATAAATTGTTTAAGATTGAATTTTTTGTATTCAAAATACATAGGTATATGATACACAAATACATGCAATGACATAATAATCTTTTTAAAAGTAACCTTGCTTTAGACATAACTAATACTGTTTTAATGCCTACCTTTATTGTCTGTTGTTTACCTAGTTACCTGAACACAGATCAAACATTGCTACACATCAGGGCATGACATTAAGTTCGTCAACACCAGCAACAATTAAATATCCACAGCATATTATATGATTTTTAACCGACTTCAAAGAGGAGGTTTTCAATTCAGATGTTCATATATATTTTTATGTATGTTCGAGCATAACTCCGTCATATATAGTCTGATTTTCATTCTTTTTTTTTTTGTTAAAAAGGGATTTTGTTTCATATAGATCTGATGATGGGTTTCAGAGACAGACAACGGAACTCTTCAAACAATGACAGCAAATCAACCGCGATTGCTGCTAAGTTTTTTTAGTGCTCTTTGTTGTTAGTATTGTTTGAAGTCGGTTTAACTCTTTTTAAAGGATTTATTTTTAAATTAATATTATAATTTATAGCCTCGATTTTTTTCTTATAATTTTACAATGTAATTAGCTAAGCCAGAAAAATCATAAAACATCTACAATAGAGTTGCAAAAAAAAGTTGCAAGTTCGTGTGAGCATATTGATAACTGCAAAAGTGAATAAAGTTCAAGGTATTTAATTAGTAACAAGTTTGTGTGTTAAAGTCATCCCCATAGCAATTTAATGACAGATACACAGGTGACACACAACGTTTAGTACAACAAACCCCTTGAAAAAATTGTATTACTACCGAACATTTAAATTAGAACCTAGTCACCGAACCTACTAATACCCTAAATAAGAGATCGCGTTAATTCCCGTTAAATAATATTAATTATCATGGAACGCGAAAGTTTAAAAGTTAGTATAGTCACCGAACCGTTAAAGTTCACATTAGTTCATGCGCCTTGTGAAACTTTATCTGTATGTACAAGTGTGTCCTACATCCGCAATAATGTAATAAACGCTCTTCAATGCAGCAACACATAAAATATTCAATTTATACATGTCGATTGTTGATTGGTGAAATTTAAAATAGGAATTTCGTTTGACAGTCAATCACTAGTTTTCAAAACCCGAAAACCAGAAGTGCTAACAAAGAGTATGTATATATATTAGTAGGGCAGTGTCGTATAACGCGGTCCGACCGCTACTCACTTCATTAGCTAACACATCGATTACCTCGTCCGATCACAAGGGACACTCGGTCCCGTCTAATAGTCACTTTGTTGTCACTCTTTTCTCATTTCACTTGATTTTTGACGTGTTGTAAAAACTCGTAGTACGAGAATGAGGACTCCAATCGGTCTTCGATTAGACGTTCTGTGAATAACGTTCGGTTTGGTGAGTTGTCCCTGTAGAAGAGATAAAACAATTGTTAGTTTTTACATTCATACATTAATATACACGAAAGTGTTGAAATGTTTATAATACTTATACATAGATACAATGGGGAACAAACTACAGTGGGAACGCAAATAACGTGTATATGTATATGCCAGGAATCACAGGTATTATATTGCTTACGATATTCTTCAAGGCAGCCTTACCTATGACTACTTAAACCTTATCATCATCATTATCATCAGCCTTTAAGCCTTATGACATGTATTAAATGTCCAGTGATGTTAATCGATGATTTTGGAAACCACAGATTGATACACTAACTAGATTAAAGAAATAGTTATAATCATATTTAAGAAAATTTGGGCTATAGCACACCCTAGATTTAGTCGAATTGTTTATTTTAATCTTTGCAGATCTATATTGGCTTACTGCATTGATATAATACTTACATAGATGAGTAATTACCGCCTAAAATCGTTGCTACTGCACATCTGTCCACAGGCATATGCGTAGCAAACGTCAATTCAGTGTTCAATGTGGCGTCAACCGAGTTGAACATAGCGACACATGACAGTAACAATCGCCAAAATGGGTAAATGCGTAGTGAAAGAATGCGATTCAAGGTCACAAAACGTTAATAAATCATGCGGAATTACTTTTCACGTGTAAGTTTATGGTTTTTGTATTGATAATATCGTAAATAAGGCTATAATTGAAATAAAACACTGATAATTGTAATTTAGAATCAGTGTTACCATTAAAAAATCATTTTGGTTTTCCCACATTAGTGGGAGAATTTATAATTTATGAAATAATATGCTTTATACTGTTTTTAAACATTTTGCCAATAATAATAAAATATAGGAAGAACGGTAGTTGTTAGGGCTGGACCGATCACTTTTTTTTGGGACCCGTTGAACGTTCACTGCGAGCTTGGCAGAAGTGCCAAGCTCGCAGTGCTGGAGACTTTTGTACAAAAGAATTAATTCATTGTTTTTCTTAATTTATTATCAATTTTAAATAATAATTGTACAAAATAATAATAATAATAATAATAAATGTTGATCATAAAAAAAAAAATATATAAAATAAAAAAGTAAATAAATATAAAAAAAAAATATAAAATATAAAAAAATAATAATAATAGTATTTTTTTATTTGTTTTTTAAATTATAATAGAATTTGCAATACACCCTGGGGATTATTTATTATCAGTACAAGTTGATCATTCACTTTTATTATTAAATGCTATTATTTTTACATACGTAAAAATAAGATTGTATCATGAAAGTAAAATATCCACACAAACTTATAAAAAAGAGTCTAAAAGACAATTGTATACAAAACTGATGCTTCACAGCGCAGTTTGATTTTACACTGAATATAAACCCTTTTAACCAAATATTTCCAGTTATTTTATTATTTATACCTATTCTATTCAATTCGAAATATTTTATTTAGAATATTTAAATTAATTTATTTTATTACAAAATTGTTTTAAAAAAAATTGTTTCTTAGTTGTTATGGGTAAAATTTCATACGGTAGTCAACACTGGCCCACCATCGCAAAGTTATGTCTTTGTCTTTGTCTAATCCGAGCGATGGTATTGTTCTTGTCTCGCGTGTAAATGAGACATAAATATGTTTACTTTCAAATGTTTAGTGGTATCAAAGCTACGTCGTCAAAGTTCAAAAGTGGTTACACTTTTTTCGACGTGTGATAATGAGGTTTGCTTCTCTAGTGTTTTTTTAACTCAATGGCTTACTGTAAGATAGCTTGGGGAGCGTCAAACAAGACATTAGATAGAGTAATGAAAGAAAAGATGTGATACGTTCTAAAGTCATAGATGAATATAACTTGGTGTCAAAAGTAAAAACTTGGACTAGAGGATTGAAATGAGGAGGGTTGAGGTCTAGACTCCACCTGTCTATCACCTTCCTTTATCAAGTAATATTATATATTATATGAGACGTTCTAATAAGTGCGCACTAGCATACGCACACGTACATGTACGCTTACAGACAAGCGCACGTGTACACGCACACACACATGCAAGATATTTTATGTTCCTTCTAAAAAAATTTTGTTTGTTGTTGTGTTTTTTTTTTCAATTTTAAACAAAATTATACAACGAACATTTTGAAAGTGTGTCGTAAATGGATTTAGACCTAATGACACAGCCAATGTACATCATAAATTCAATATAATAATCACACATTTTCCTCTGGATGTATTCTAAAGATTAGGATAGAAGAGTACTGACCTGAGCACGAGTATGTCGGCGGCGTAGGGCCGGTCGTCGTTGAGCTTGTCGATGAAGTCGTGCAGCAGAGTGTTGCCGGGCGAGTCGGTGCGCGGCAGGGAGCGAGCTTCGTCGGGCAGCTGCGCGAAGGCGGCCACGCCCATCGTGTCCGACAGGAACGCCGCGCTGACGCGGTGGCACACGTACACGATCATGCTGTCGCCCGCGTCCAGCAGGTACGCGCCCGTCGAGTTTATCCTGCCGACCACCGAAACGTTACCATCTCAAAATACTTCCTGGTGAAAAAGTCAGTTCGTAGATGAGATCGTATTTATTATGTTGATTCGACTTTATACATTAACCAATACGTCCTTTTAACTGCATCGATTGTGTGTAATGTGATTTTATATGGATACTATATAGATGTAAGTATGTGATCGTTATTAGAACCGCCAGGCACGTAGGGCGCGTTACCTCTCGGCGGACAGCTGCAGCTGCGGCGGGTCGGGCGCGCAGTCCTCGTCGGGCAGGTGTTCGCTGGGCGTGTGGCTGGCCAGCGCGCTGATGTCGTACAGCTGCGGGTACACGCCGCGCATGAGCTGCGCCAGCGCCGAGCACTTCAGCGCGCACATGTCCGCCACGCGGTCGTCTAGCCGCGTCGACGTGCCCGTGCGGAACGCTTTCTGAAATTCAACAAACAGTAAAACGCATAGAAATAGATCACACAAAACGAAACTTATATAATGGTAAAGAAAGCGAACTATGGACCTATCGCATACGGTTGGTATAGCGAAATTCTCAGCACTGATCGGCTGATACTGAGGGCATTTAAAATAGCCAATCAGTGCAGAGAGCAGAGAAAGATGCAAGACCAAAACAATCTTGTATCTCTGTCTACCGGCCGTACGCTGCCACTTACAGAGTAATATACAGTTCGCTGCCTCTATATTATCTCTATGTGTAAGACAGGCGGCACTGGTTACGCTTACCCTTTTGAGAAGTGCGAGTAGGTAGAGCGGCAGTAGCCGGAGCGAGACGGGCGCGTGCAGCGCGCTGCTGAGGTGTCCGGCGGGCAGGTTCTGCGACAGGCGGAACGCCGATAACGCGTCCACCGCTACGTTCATCACCGCTTCTCGAGCCTCGCTCATCGAAGCCGTTTGACACCGGTCCACCGCTGGCGATCACAACAAATTACGATAAATAAATCTACGACATTTATCCGCTCGATGCAGGCAAGGTAAAGTAATACATGTTCTACAACATTTTTAAAGACAAAAAGTTCATAAAATTAAACTTTTAGCAATTAAATTGACCCAAAACCAACAAACAGGACAAAGCTAGACTAAATAAAGCTCTTTAATAATTGAGCTCGATGGAAAAAAAAAATTGTAAAAAAAACATTTAGAACAAGAAAGGAATATTCTAAAAATCAACAAGTGTGAGTTATATTAGTTTAATAAATGTATGTTAATCAAATTAGTATGTAGTAAGACTCACCCATTTTACTAAGTAGTCCTATAATACATTGTTGATCAGCCGCGTGCAAGACATCAGTCAAATTGCTCGCTAGCGGCAGAGCCATTGTGTGCACTCGTATCCGCCTTTCACCTGCAATACACAATCATATCAGTGTAAATAACAATTAACAGTACTTCAGAGAATCCTCCAGGAAATATTAGTTTTAGCAAGATGACTCATATAGGTAGCGTGTCATATTATTAAATATTAGTAAAAATCACCAAGCGAGTACAATAACAAAAAAAAAATGGTAAATTCATTTTTTAGGTATGTTTTGTTATGACTTGGACGTCACCTGGTACACCTGGTCTCAAGTGCCAAATAAGTCAGAAGCAGAGCTGTACATTGGATAATTAAGCGGCTATAAAGAAAATAGATAGTGTTTACCTTTACTGCTAGTATACAACAAAGCGGCCTGGAAGCACACCTGCTGCAGGTCGGCAAGCGACTCCTCGATGGTGAGCTGCATGCCGAAGCCTGCGTCGGGCGACACGTTGGGCAGCGACAACAGGTCCGTCGAACGGACGAAGAAGTTGCCGTGGAACGTGTGGATTGTAATGCCCCTGACGAATATCACACAAAGTTCATTTTTTAAATTTTGGAATATTATTTTTATTTTAAGAAATTGAGACAAATTAAGCATGAGGCTCGGAACCAGTCGAGATGGAGACTTGCTGTAGAAGCCCTTTGCCCCATGTGGGGACATAGGACATTAAGAAAGCAGATACCAACCTTTCGCCATCTTACTTTTTGTAAATTCGTAAGCCCCGCCCTGCATTTCCTAATTCGGTAGTTTTCATTTCAGGATTGAAAAGCTGGCTAGTGAAGCACTGTTGCAATTTGTTAGTTAAATAATAGTTGTTAATTTAAATAATTTTCGATGAAATAATATCACACATACCTGGTACACCGTACTCTCATGACAGCCTCGAAGCCGATCTTCCTAGTGAGATATCGTGTTAACATTCTGTTTAGCTGCTCGACTTGCCACTGGCGCGAGGCGCGGAACAGAGGGATGTGGTACACCGTGCCCGCGCTGAACTTGCTCATGCCACCTAAACACAAAGTGATAACATTCTTGACTGCAGATCATTGAACGCTCGAAAGCGGCCTTTTGGTGTTTAAGACTATTTTAGTGGAAATTTAGGCTAATTCGGCTAATACATAATATCTAACAGGTGGAATATCAATTACCTTTAGGGATTGTTTTAAAAATTTGAAAAATAATTATATCGAATCTAATTTTTCGAAGTTTGATGCATATCCCACTTCCGAATGATCTTACATAATTTATTTAACGACAGGCTAATATGTACCTTATTTTGGATAAATTCCTGATTTATTAAGATTAATTTTTATTTCAAAACCTTTAAATTGAACTTGAAATTGAGTAATATGTAAAGGTTAAACTATAGGTATTTAATTCCGCGGATGTTGATGGATTACTTAAAAAATCTTTGCATAAATTAATAAGTCAATAAAATTACCTGGAACATTGATAATTTTACTGTATGAAAATGTGTTTTTTCAAACTATTATTTATCAGGGATAGGTGTACATTCTGTACGTTACGTATAAACAATAGGAATTATTTTAATAGCACAGAAAACTATCGAGATATTATATTTAAGTAGGTATTTTTATAAGTGGTACTTACTGAGCGTGGCGAGGTCTGCGTACTGCGAGTTGAGCAGGAACAGGTCGACGGCGATCTGTGCGCCGCTGCAGTCCAACGCCAGCCGCTTGTAGAAGTCTGTCGCGGGGTTCAAGTGGGCCACGTCTTTTGACGATCGCGCGTTAGGGTCTTCTCTGTAAAATTTATAGCGAAATAAATCTACAAATGTAAAATTAAGTATTGTATCAAATAATTACATTGCGTTAAAACCTTATGAGTCAGGAAAAAAAAAACAATATAAAAATTTTGTTGTCAAATTAGTAACACGAATAGTCATATTTAATGGCGCAATAATATGACTATGGCAGCACACATACACGTTTTTATACTATAATAACCTTTTCTCTTCCCTTAATAAACTACGTCTCACGTTAAGGGGGGGTATCGACGAAGTGTGACAGGGAATGAGAGAGGTATTAAGTGTTCAAGCACGAAATTTAAATTAACGGTAAACCTAAAAATCTTTTCAATTTCGGAACCTCGGTTTTAATTTAATAATTTTTAGATGTGAAATTGCAAAATAAGTGAAGGGTCAAAAACAATGTAATTCGTTTGACGTAATTTATGGATGGCTTCTTATGACAGTATTATTTTTACTTATTTTCGGCTCACTCGAAATATGCAGCATTTATACATGAAATGCGAGAATTATACGAGTTTAGTGTACAAACCACTAAATGCAAATTAATATGAAAGTAATTGGAAGATAATAGTTACCTAGGCTGTAGTGCTCCAGGGCCAACGTTCGGTAAACATGTCTGGAATACTGTTATTCGTCCTCCAGTGGGCGCCTAAAAATATTATTTGTGTCTTTATCATTTCAAATATACTTATTTAAAAAAAATAGCAACGTCATGACAGCAGTATCTTTTTTAAAATGTCTTAGCCTCTTTTTGTTCGGCTCGAAGGACCAAAAGTTTCAATTAATTAACCAGAAACAGTACGATTTGTCGGTCAGTGATTTCTGAAATCTTATCATGGGTGTCAGAGTCCAACTACTACTCGGGCCCAGAATATTTATTGTTAGTTTTGTATAAGTCGAAGTTTGTTGTAATTTGGTTTCAATAAATATAACAAAAAGTGCTAGACGAGAAACGTTATATGTGCCATGTACCATGAGTTTGTAGGCGGCTTGCAGCGCGGCGCCGAGCGCGCAGGCGGCGGTGGGCGCGGTGGCGGTGGTGGTTGTGGCCGCGGCGGTGGCGGGCGCCGCGTAGCGCGCCGGCAGCGAGCCCAGCAGCTCGCGCACCAGCTCGCGCCGCTCGCCCACGTTCACCAGCAGCGCCTCCGGGGACGGCAGGAACACGTCTGCCACCGAACCATTATTAGCTATACGACCCAAACACTCAGTACCACGATCCTAACTTAACCCGCATCTACCGTTTCAATAATCGTTTCGTATTACCGATAAAAGTATAGGCCCCGAATTTAGTGACCTGAAACCGATATTTTGTTTTGAATGAAATTAAAATATTATAATAAAAACAGACACACAAAGGTATAAAGAAGGTAAACGAGATCTTTCCGAGAGGATGGAACCTTCATAATTCTCTATCAGGACTTACGAGTCCGTCTCGATCCCGATTTGCACTAGTAACTATTTCACACTAATATACAGGCTTTATTCAATATACACGCTAACTACTAGAACTAGAAGCCTAGAACAGCCTGGAATCGAGTCTTAGTTGCATCAATCACTTAATAAAAAAACTCCTTACCGTCAATATCGAGGACAGTCATCTCTTTAGGCCGGGTGAGTCCTTCACTCATAAAGTAGTAATGCACATGCGCATCGTAACAGATGAAACCAATTTGCGTACGCGCATCGCCTGGCAATTCGTCTAGACATGTCTTTAGCGTATCGCATACTACCTGAAATTATGAAATACTACCGATTATTAAAAGTAGGATATGCACCTACTATATCCATCACAGGATTTGCAAACTTTGTGTAATGTATTACTATTACCTATTATTCGAAAAGATTGAATGTTTTTGTGGGGCTTATATTGTAGTTTTATAGCAACAATTTTTTTTAAAGCTAACATAATACAAATCTAATCGTACGTAAAATATATTAACAGTAACATTGCTAGTGAGACCATCATTGTATAGTACTCATGACGGATTTTACACAAAAGATGCACACCACAAATCCGTACTATTCGAATATAAGTTTATTTGTTCACTAGCTGACCCGGCAAACGTTGTATTGCAAAACAAAAAAAATTAAGGATGGGTCACCCTTACCATTTAGGGGTATGAAAAATAGATGTTGGCCGATTCTCAAGACCTACCCGATGTGCACACAAAATTTCATGAGAATTGGTCAAGCCGTTTCGAGTACGGGAACGAACATTGTGACACGAGAATTTTATATATAAGATTATGATATTTTGCATGCGCATTATCATGGATTCAAAAAGATATATAATATGGATCAAAATTCAAACTGTACCTGTAAATAACCCGAATCCCTAGCTAATTGCGAGACGTCGAAAAGAAACAAGTAGACGGCAGGTTGTGGCGGTCGAAGCATGTACTCCCCGGGGGCAATGAACTCGATGGTCGCAGATTTGATCTCCGGCCGACGAGACGGGTCGCCGTAGGACTTGCTTACTGGATCATATTGGAACTCTTCTGGCACTGTCGAAAAAGAAAATGGAATATTTTAAGTTCATCTTGTATAATAGCATGAAAATACATTCTGGAAATGCAGAACCTCTGGAGCCAGAGCCAGCCTCTAGTTTTTTTAATGGAATGGAAAGCAAATGATGAAAAACATTTTATTTTATCGTCAGTCATGACTTTCCATTTGTTAAACAATTAGTAATTACAAGTATTTACAATTAATCAATACATTTACTGATATGAAAGATAATAATAATTAATGCCACAATCCAGCTAAATCAGCCGCGATAAAATCACATCAACACAATCGTTTCGCGATTCGTATTGTAGGAAACCAATTGTTGTGATCAAAGATCGTTTGTGTTGAATGTTCGTTACTGTTGTAACATATTGACGATTTACGTGAGTCGTTTCAGCACAATCACAATCATCAATTCATTACAGAACGGGTTAAAGTTTGTGAGAATGGATGTAATAATGTACGTTACCCAATAACACAACCGAAGCCGTAAATAAAAGCTAGGCATTAATTAAGCGGGAATAGAACTCACGAGAAGCACCAACATTTTTTGGTCTTTTGAGCCGGGGTAGGCTCTAAGGACCAAAAATTTGCCACCTCTTATTTAATAAGTACAGATGAATACTCACAGTCATTGACCCTGTAGCACAGATTACACTTCCACCGCTTAGCGTCGACGAAGTACACGAAGGGATTGATGTACGTTCGACAGGCGCGACAGCGAACTATCGTGGTGCACTGTATCACTGGGAGGTGCTGTAAAAATTAACAAGACTATATTAGATATATTTTAATTATTAAAATTACTGTATGATGTATTTTTTTTGTGCTGGAACGGACAGAACTTTATTCTTTAGTCATTGATGCGAGAGATCGCTTCATCTCTTAGTGAAAACCTAACTAATGTTCAAACGCGAATGTAAGTTTCCATTCACATTTAACTACTCAATGGATTGCGTATCCCTGACAGGTTTGTCAGGGATACAGAAAGGGATATAAGGTAACGTTCACTTAAAAAAACAGTCGGGAACAGGAACTCTTCCTCGGGAACTTTCCCTCGAGAACAGTAACTGATTAACACAGAGAAGTCGCTCGCAAAATCTAATCATGAATAATAAAAGCATCTTTAACATCACAGATGGTTCTGTAACAACGTAGGTATAGTCAGGTTGTTTTAATACTATACATATAGTTTACAATGTTTATCGATGGCACACAAAAGAAGCGTTTCATTACACGTTTACGTCATCGTCTTGTACTGTGTGGAAGTCAATAAAAATACTTAACATACGAGTATAATTACAATCTTATATTTGCACAATAATGGTGTAAGTATATTTTTAAAGCTATAAATGATCACAAATTAAAAATAGATCGTTCATACTCTTTTTTCGCATATTCCGTGGTATATATATTTTTTACTCGCTTCAGATTCGGTCATAAATCACACACACGGTCTTAAATGATGCTCCGTTCTGCATTGATCATCTTCCCACCGCTCACGCAAAAGAGGCATTGTGTACCTACTCCGAAGACTTATGACCGAATCTATATGTTTTTTATTAAATTTGGATCATAGGCCATAGCATGCAGGCAGTCAGTTATTTTTTAATAACACACTGCTTTTTTTTTGTGGAAGTAAAATTTCGAGTTTCTCGAAAACTCAACTCAGTTAACTAGCAAACATTTGATTAAATGGGAACATAATATTAAGAAATAATCCAATTTAAATGTCCTTAAATCTTATCACGAACGCATGAGTTTCTATAGCAAAGTTAGGCGCATGGAGTTCGTGATAAGATAAAACTCTTCGTGAGACGAGTTGTAACATTTGACAGACAGTTTTAATAGTAGTAAGGCATGAATGATACTACAACTAAATCAATATACAGCTAATCTTTTCAGTATTTTTATATGATATTATTTGTATCCGAATGCATTTTATTTTAACATTTCATAATTCACATTCATTTACTTTAAGACGTGGACACTATCTACATGCTTAAATGTTTTCTAATCTATACAAATAAATAAAATTGGAGTGTCTGTTTGTAATATTAAAATAACCGCTTTTTACTAAATGCATATTATTATGTATGTTTACACGGTACATATGCCAAAATAACAATTTATGTCTGTCTGTCTGTCTGTTTGTTCCGGGTAATCTCTGGAACGGCTGGACCGATTTCGACGGGACTTTCACTGGCAGATAGCTGATGACATAAGGAGTAACTTAGGCTACTTTTTTTAGACTAGCTTCGCCCCGCGGCGTTGCCCGCAGTTATAACAACAAACGCGGGTAACACCGCGGGTCTCAGCTAGTACCTACTATTAAGGTTAGGTACATGATTGATGGCCTTAATCCAATATCGATTGCATTATTAAGCGAGATTAATACACAATTACCTAAATCGTTACATTTATAATATAGATACACATAGATTAGACAACGCACATTTACAAATCGAAGTCAGGATTCACTCGTATCAGTAATCCAACATTTATTTAAATTGTGGGATATTTTAAGGAACTGTGTTGTCTATTCTAGTCTTCTAGACCATAGTACAGGAGCATTATTGTAAGGTATGAAAGCGATATTTTTAGAAGGAATGCGGTTGTTATACGGAGTTCGAAGGAAGTTTTCTATTACGAACGAAACGCTTAATCAAAACAAACAGTGTGCCTACTTTTTTTATAGACATTATACCTACTGCAACAGATCATACACAGACAAAAATCTATGAAGTCGGTGCTATCTAAATTATAAATTGTGATTTATAAATACTTATTAGTTCCATAAAAAGAGGTAATGTTTGTCTGTTTTATGTAAGTTTGAATGTAGGTAGCAATTTACATTTTCAAGTTTTAAATAAAAGAAAGTTTTTAGTGAAACATCACAACACAATTCAAAGAAAAATATAGCAACTGTCAGTCTCGTTGACCTGTTGTCTAGAAGCTAAGCAAATACAATATAGAGCAAAAATATTAACTTTTATTAGGTTTAGAAGAACGTTTTTAAGCTTTTTTAAAAAACAATTGCATTTTTACTAATAAAGCTGAAGAGTTTTTTTGTTTGTTTTGCTTTTTTAAAAAACCACAATCTCAATGCGTTGCGAATATCGGAAGATTATAGAAACTTGTAGATTCCTTATTGTACGTGGTTCTGTCTGGAACATTCCATCGGATCCTCAGGATTACTCTATTAATTTCGATAGCACTATAAAAGCGGCGCGTGTTATCCATACGGGACAATATTGTTTTACGACACAGCGAATTAACATCGAAGCGAATTTCTAGTGCGACTAACGAGTTATATAGTGATTTCTTGTTTGTTATAGTGAGTGTTTGTAAATACAGTGCAATAAAAGTAATTAACCGACTACTTTTATTTATTATATACCCCGCTCGTAACAGTAATATTCATTGTCTCATGGGAGTCAAATAACCACAAGTGATATAGTGCTTTATTTAACACATTACTTTATTTGACATTTGTGGGTTCGATCCCCACTTGGGACGACACTTTGTCTGATCCACAAATTGTTGTTCTGAGTCTGGGTGTTCTTTGTGTCCGTTTCATGTGTGTTTGTGTGTGTTTGTAAAAATCCCCCGCGACACAGGATAAATTCCTAATGCGGGAGTTGTCTTTTTTGAATAAAATAAAAAAACTGTTCATGAGTGCAAAAATCCTTTCTTAGTAGGTTTACCTTACCGTAACCTCGATAAGGAGTCTATAAAAAGAAACCTATTCATTGCAATCAATTACCTTATTTTTGTCTTGTACAATAGTATTTAATAATTTTAAACTACTCAAGGATTGGACGACCTTTGTAATTATGTTATTATAAGCTCACTAATTATAGCTGTGTTAAGTTTAACTGCTTTGTTTCCTTTTAAATACATCTTCCGAACTAGAAATGATTTCTGTATATCAGAGGAGTTTACAAATATTGAAGCAATTTACACAATGAACATTCAGACTCGGGCAATCACATAAATTTTTACCTACCTTATATCAAACCTACAAAATCGGCACAGCCTACTGATCCCGCAATCACTTTTATAGTAACAACTGTTGTGATTTTTAACAGATAAGTTTAGCGGTTTTTTTAGTATATATACCATACTGAAACAACTGTAATCACACAATGAAATATTGTATTGAGGTTTAAATCAATTAATACGATACTGGTTGGCGGGTAACGACTTAAACAGCTACATTAAGCATTTATAAATGATTTTATAGCACACATAAGCAGCACACTTTATAACTTTAATAAATATAGGATATAGCAATCTACACCCAAACACGCCGAAAAAACTCTTCAAAAAATTTACTCTCAAATAACGAAAGTGCGTATACAGAAAAACGGTATGTAGGTCCCTAATATGTTTGTGAATACACAAATACCAGTGATGTGAAAAATGAAAAAACGTGCTTGGAAATTGAACACAGTTCATTGCTGTTCCAATCAGAGGGCTTATTGCGAGTTTATATCACATCTACCTGATCGTTACGGTTACCGCGTTCGGCGCTCTGATTGGACAGACTAAACGTCTGACGCGACACGGCCACCGCCGATTATATTAGTTTAGGTTAAGAATTTACAATTCATTACATGTTAAAATAGGTATAAAGGAAAAGGAATATACATATTGGATATTATATATGCAGATGTACATAAGTATAAGATGATTATTTCATGCATCAGACACTTTAAAAGTGACATAAAAATATAACCTACGATAGTTCTACAGCAAGTGGATTCTTTATTATCTTTTTTTTTAATGGCACACATACAGTTATAATTCTCAAATAATTATATAAAACAATACAAAAACCAATTTGAAAAGTCGATAGCCATAGATAAATTGATAAAATAAAGGAAACATATGCAGCTATGTTAAAAACTCTTTTTTTTTAAAGACCTCAGATTAAAAAAATGCGTAACTAAAAAAATCAAATGTTAATATCTTTTTTCCTAACCTTTCCCAAACAAAATAGTTTTACACATAGATTCAAAAATAATAGCCGACTTTATTATATTTTTTTCGTTACAAGACGATGCAATTTGATTTCAAATACTTTTTGTACGGAGACCCGCCATTGTTCTTTAAACTACTAAAACTATAGCTACATCTTTTTTTACACACCAAAAACTACCCATAAAATCGTCTATCTAACAGTCGATTCGTCCATCCAAAGGTTGCGTGTAAGAAATTGCTTTTTAGCTATAATGCCGCTATTAATTTGATGTACTGTTGTATGTATGATGTACTAAACAGGTGTACAAACAAAAAAATTAATTCTACTCTATTCTACAGTTATTAGTGTATTCTTTTATGGCGGGCAGCCTGCCTGACGCAAAACCTTTTTATGGTATAAGAGGCAAACTAGTAAAAGTATCACCGGGTAACTCAAAAGTCACAAATGCGTTGCCACCCTGCGAGACCCTCCATAATTGCGAGGAGGTTGGGGAAGTCCTCCGATATCCTAACACTCTCGGTAAAAAGCATTGCTTAACACCAGCTTGCTCTGAGTCCGTGATATCACTCCGATCAAGCCCGGCCCATACGTTGCCAAAAGCATAGGCCTCCTAACAATGTGCGTTGCGTAATTGGACAGGATATTAAGAAATCTTAATCAAGACCTGAAGGGCAATTCTGGTAATAAAAGTTCTAAAAATAAAAGAGACCGAACTTTTATTACGAGAATTGGCCTACTGATTTAAATCTCTTAATTTTCGTATACATACCACAGTTTAAAAATAATTATAACAAACATAAACATGTTACAACAACAATGAACAACACGAGATGATACTACAAGTGCTTCAGTTAATGAGTAAAGTGGGTCACTCACATTTAGATCTTTGAATGGATGTATTAATATACCGAGAGGGAGTCTTGACTTCTGTAGAAGATTATTCGTCTCTGGTATCCGGTTGATGGTGCATCTGAAGATTCTGCAAAATAAAATGAACATCAAACTTTTGTATATAAAAATACACATATATATATATATAATCTAAGGCTAAGTACAGTAGAGATTTTAACCCCTCTCACGTAAAATAGGCAAGCCTATTGTGTGAACCGGGCACTTTAGAAATTAGATGAAAAAATCGGATGTTTTTTAAAATTATAAAATTAAAAGTTTGTAAAAGTTATGCACATATACATTTTTTTTTTAATACCACTCCTGCACTAGCAATACAATCCTGTTTCGCGGGGACCTTTACAAATAAACACGAAACGGACACACAGAACAACAATTTGTGGATCACACAATGGGGGATGGAACCCCATGTGGGGATGGAACCATCAACACATAGCGCAGTGGGCAGCGGCGAGGTGACCGCTTAACCGCTACGCACACGTCTACGTTTAGTATCGTCTTCAACAGCTTTGGTTGTGAAGACGGCGGAATGATGTAGAGGGCATTGTCAGTAACGTTTAATATGAAATGAACATCTATGTAAACCACAAGCAACATTGAGCTGATGTTTTTGTTTCCTAAATTTGAGTGTAGTTATAAAAAGTATGTTAGCTACTAAGAAATGTATTAAAAACATTAAACTGTACACTGAGTAAGTGCACACGGCACACGGAATACCTGGTCAGTACTACGAAGTTGTTGTCATTTTAATTAACTATAATCACATGTACTTAATAAATAACGCGGGTGAAACTATAATAAGTTACAATAATATGAGTGCAAAAACGAATTATTTGCAATTAACACATATGAAAGGGGGGCCTCGTGGCTAAGTGGTAACCGTGTCGGTTAACACATTGCAAGGTTAAGCTATCTTAGCCAGGTCAGTCTATGGATTCTCGGAGATCTCGTTAAGTCGTCGTTCCCGGTTGCCATCTTTGCCAATCGTTACGGGTAGTTGGAGCCCTAAAAACATCGACAACATTCTTTCTACAGAACTTCGATATCGGCTAGTACTTTGTTTGTGGATATCTGATGGCAGTCGCTCCGATTAAAAAATCTAAGTTCAGCCGTATTAGACTTAATGCCGACCCCAACCTAGTTTTAGAATAAGGTTCGGAGGAAGAGAGAAGCTTGACCGTCCATTTATCGTGTGTCTATCGTTTACAAACTTTACTGTCCGATGTTTCAACATTCAGAATTTAAACTACGTATAAAGCAGCTATACTTCGGAAATACCATGAATGCTTATCTAATACCTTTAAACGAGCAACGAATTTCGGAAATAGCTCCAACGATTTTCATGCAATTTAATATGTAGGGGGTTTTGGGGCGATTAATCGACCTAGCTAGGTTTCATTTTTAGAAAATTTACCAAAAAAAAAATACCGAGAAAAGCTCGGTCATCCAGGTACTATAAGGCGATAATATATATAATATAATATAATAATAATATATTATTGTATGATTTGTTCTTTTCAGCGTTGAATACGAACAACGTCATCCACAAAATATTTAATATTTACATTATCTTTCATAACCGTTTTGTTGAAACTCTCCACGGCAGGTAGAACTCGAGGAGTTATTTACATACACCTGAGATTATTTTCATCAAACATATTTGTGTTTCGCTTACAAATATTATAACGTTGTTAAATGAAGAAAATGAATTAGGATTTATTTTATCAAATCCCATGTGAGGCATAAATTGACATTGAGTAAACAAGAGTCCCAATCTTGCAATATAGGCAACGAAAGAGATGGATAATAGATAGTTCCCTCTATCTCTTTCTAGTCCAGCTCTATGGTTGGCTGGGGAAATTTTTGATCTCCTGCCTGTTCTACGATCAAAACCATGCATACTTCAGCTTAGCTAAACAGAGACAGAGAGAACTATCAGGCATCCATCTCTCTCGTTGACTGTTTCGCTTCCACTTACAGGCAGCTGTACCCCGTTTTCTCTTTATGCTTATATCTCTATGCATTGAACTGATAAGTTGTACCTATATTCATAGACCTAGATTATCTAATGAGTTGGTAAGAGAAAAATTATGAATGTAGGTTTAGTTTATATATGCATAAATTATCATATCGGTCGCCATAGATAATGAACGGTACTCCTAATCTCACTTTTCTTTTACATTATAAACAAGAAGAAAATCAGTAATCAATCAATCAGAATAATAAGATTGTATGTATTAATACACATATTATGAAAATACACACAAACATATGTAATAATAAAAAATAAATGTATCTCAGTTGCTTTTGCTCACAATAAATAAAATTATACTCTCGTGACATCTATTGTTATAATTTCTACCATAGAAGTTCAAACTTCTATGGTAGAAATACATACTTCATATCACAGATAGTGCAATACTTAACTATCATTACCCACAGGTTCTGATATCTACCATTTTTTTGTGTCAATGTTTGTGGAGATTGGACAATAAATAGAGATTAATATGATTACATATGCTGAGTCATGAGATCGTGATGAATAATAATTTTCATAATTAGTGACTCACATCTTCTTACATGTCTAACATACATCGTTCTAGAATGTGTATATATTTGATATTTATACATGGTCCTTTTGCAGTTCCAAAGTCAAACAAAATAACTTGTATATAACACTGCCTATAGCTCATTATAATTTGGCATTCCTATTCATTTTAGTTTTTGTATAAATTATGAGCATCTGCATTTGAGCATTAATTGTAATTTCCCACAAAGCTACGAACTAATAAATAATTTATTCCACTAATATAACAAGAAAACTAAGTAGAGTAAGTACTAACAAGTAGCCATGTTTAGATTTAGCTTGTGTTCTAGAAGAATGCCCAGTTACTTGTCAGCTATGTGTAAATGGAAATGTTGGATTTGTCTTAAAGCCATAGCGACTGTCAACTAAAACTGGATGCTTCTACTCGTTTGCTACCATGGTTAAAAAATTTTGATTCATAACTCTAGTAAAAATACCTATTATAATAATTATTATCAAAATATGGTTAAAATATGTCATAATCCCATGGAAAAGCTTCTACGCAGTCATTATCAATTAATTTCATGTGATCTGACACCCTATATAAAAAAAAAACCATTGATAAATAAACTATTATCGATATTAATTCAAAAAGTATATATTACTTTACATATGTATAACTTACTACGGTAAAAATCACACTTATCACAGTAATCATTGTATTTGAGTCAACACATAAAAAATACGTGAATTGACGACCGGATGGTGTAGTGGTTTGTGTAACGGACTGCTATTCCAAAGGTCGCGGGTTCGATTCCCGCTCAAGTCAATCATTTGTGTGCATGAACATTTAATGTTTGATTTGGTCTGGGTGTTTCTATGTATAATATGTACGTATTTACAAAAAAGTATATATGTATTTATATCAATTGTCTACTACCCATAGTACAAGCTCTGCTTAGTTTGGGACTAGATTGCGTTGTGTGAATGTGGTAGGATATTATTATTATTATATCTAAATATTATGACATAACAAATAATCAATTGAATAAAAATATTGTAAGCACAGGTGAAGGAACAAAGATGATTATTTAGTTTTTCTTTTAAGTTTTAGTCTCCAATTTGGTGTGCTGTCAGATACCACTAGCATTCACATGGAACACAATGATGTGGCTATGTCAGGTTGTCCAAGTATACATCATATCTCTGAACCCCTAATAATAGATTTCATTCATAACAATAAATTGTACTAATATCAGAAAATTTTATTATTATGTTTAGATTTTCCCTCTTCCTTACATTGCTATGTTAAATAATCAATCAATAAGAAAAGCTTTTGACAAAATGACCATATATAGTAGTACTGATATTTCGCACTGTTGACAGTGACAATGTTGATATATGAGTTTTACAATAAGGTGATTCATTTCCTTTGTTATTTGTTTGTAAACAAGAATGACTCATAATAAAAACAAATTATAAACCTTTGGCCAATTAATTCAAAGAAATCCATTATCCTCATTTAAAAATCTTTTAAAATTGACTTCTAATTAAACTAAAATTTAGCTCAATTTTAATTATATTGTTATCATAATCATAATTTTAGGTGCAGCCATTTTTAATTCTTATATTAATATTTGTATATACATAACATGGAACATAACTCTGAATGTTATATACTTTTTCTTTCACTTTCGATTTTTTTAATTTTATTATAAAGACAACTCCCGCATTAGAAATATATCCTGTGTCGCGGGGACTTTAAAAACATACGAACACAAGAAACGGACACAAAGAACACCCAGACTCAGAACAACAATTTGTGCATCACACAAAGTAGCATCCTATTCAAACTAATCATGGTTTTTGTTTTCTACTTTGTTTTATGTATTATCTTGTTATGTTATGTAGGGTAAAATAAACTAACTGAAATTACAAAATTAACTACAAGTTCCAAGTCAACATCATCACCATCATCAGCCTATCGCAGTCCACTGCTGGACATAGGCCTCTCCCATTGCACAGTACAGGACAAAATATTGATCACTCATGAGTTATATTTAAACTCTAGCATGAAATTTAATGTCAGGATTTTTAAAAAAAAAATCTGGTCATCTGACAGTAAATCTGAAAATTTTGAATCAATTAACTGAATATAAATTAACTATTAAAGTTGGAGAAATAGAGACATATACTGAACAAACATATGTACATTGGATTGTAATTTTATAAAAGGATTTAACCCTTCTGAAGCTACATATCCTCTTACAATTGACAGCCTTTAATTATGTTTAATTATTATCTGTACTATATCAAATTATCAAAATAATCAAATGAAGGCTTGTATAGAATGGCCTCTTCAATAGAAAGGTCATTCATTACATTATCACTTAACAAGCAACGTAAGTAGAAGTGCTAATATATGTGAGATTTAAGCATAATTTATATATTTGCTAAGTACTCGTATGTAGAACAAGCCTACGATATTATGATAAATGATATTTATTTCTGTAAGTAATATGGCGACCGATATAATCTTTTTAGGTATTTTTACAAGTCAGGGGTTTATTTATCCCCCCCCATATCTATGCACTGCTTTTAAATATATTACTCAACTGAAATCATATTGGTATATATACTAAACAAATAATTAATAATAATATTCTCACATATGTCACACACTACCGTCTGATACCAAACTAGACAGGGCTTGTACTATGGTAACCAGACTGTTGATAAACATACTTATATGTTTCTAAATACATACATTTTATAGTTAAAGTTCACCCAGACACAGAACAAATGACTGTGCTCACCACACAATTATTTGTTTTGGGTGGGAATCGAACCCACAACCTCTGGTGTAGCAGGGTCACTAACCACTAGACCACCAGGCCAGTCTTGTTCTCATCACAATGTTTTGCCTTCGCTGAGAATCAAACTCACAGCCCCTACTTCAGCAGCATTCATAAATTTCACTAACCACAAGAATCACAGGCTGTATTGAATTTAAAAAATAGAAAAAAAAAAACATTTTAAACAACTTACTCAGGGCTACAGTTAGGTGCCTCAGCAAATTGATGTCCAAGTTTGATCTCTGGTGGGTCTTCAGGGTACTCGGGCAGTATGTTTTTGCACTGAAGAAGATCTACCATATGATGACCCCACAACTGATCAAAACCTTGTTTTGTAACACTAAGTTGACCCATCTGCTGGGTTAGACCTTGAGTACCATAGGAGCTGCTGCCATGCTGAGGGAATTGCTTCATTATATTTTGCTGCATGATCATTTGTTGTTGTTGTTGACTATTTACATAATTTCCTTGAGCCATTTGTGGATATCTATTCTGCATATTGCTCTTAGGAACCCCACTAGAAGGAATAATAGGCCCCGGCGGTGGGCCCATTTGATGTCCCATTGGAGGTCCTTGCTGTCCCGTTGGTGGGATCTGATGTACATGAACTTGATTTTGATGGCTGCTATATGTATTTAAAGGTCCCATATGTCCAGAAGGGCCAGGTTGGCTTATGGGCTGATCTGATGGTCCATTTTTAAACTGTCCAGAATATGACTGCGCTGGAGCAACACTTAAAGGTGGCACCATTGGTGCTGCACTTGTTAGTCCTCCAGGTCCAGCGGGTATTCCACCTCCACCAGTTCTAGGAGGACCTATTAGTGCTTCAGATGATGGTGGCATTGATCGAGGTCCAGCTGCTTGAGGTCCATTCATTACAACTTGTTGTGGAGGAACTGCAGTTTGAGGCCCACCATAGCCTGTCATACCAACAGGAGGTCCACTGACTGTCGACCCATGTACAGCAGGACTGTGTCTAGGGGGGCCAGTCAGAGGGGGAGTAGAGAAAGGAGTATGTGATTGACTTGTCACAGGAGGTCCAGGCTTATTAAGAACACCTGATTGTGGCCCATATGGTGAATTTGACATCCCTTGAACATGGCTAGAGCTGACAGGTGGCTTGCCTCCTGGTTGAGAACTATAAACACTTGAAGAACCAGGTTGTTGGCTTAATTGAGGCCTTGGATGGGACATAGGTGGGCCACTTACTAGAGGTTGATTTTGACTAGAAGGAATAAGAGGTGGAGCATTATCATTAATTTGTTGTTGGGGTTGATAGCTAGGCGGGTAAGGTGTGGGGGAAGGATTGGCATGAGATACAGTTCTAGGACTTGAAGATGACAAGGGAGCCTGGGGTAGGAGAGGATTTGACAATGAACTGGGGGCAGCTGACATAGGTGGTCTCATAGGTGATGACTGAAGTCCATATTGCACAGGTGACATCATTCCAGGTTGATTGAATGCAGGAGAACTGCTTGCACTCTGTGTGTAGTTGTTCACATTTTGTAGAGCACTGTTCTGGGGCACTGACGTCGCGTGGAGAGGGCTATTTGAATTTGCATCCTGCTTTATGGCTCCATATCCTGGGGGCAACTGGCTCAGTGGTACATGACCTACTGGCTGATTATGATTGAAGGCAGGCCCTGTATTTGCGTTCATTTGTGGCGGCCCAGGGAATTTGTTAAATGGATTTGGTGGTAAATTGGACATGGCTTGTCAATCTGGAAACACAATTGCGTTGTATTACAAATCTTCTAAGAAAAGTTATAAAAAGTATATAGTACCGCCAAGAGATGTTTATATTTTGATAAAAATACTGATATTGACAAAGATTTCATTAAAACATGCTAATTCACTGATAAAATGACGGAAAGGCAAAGGTAGGACACAAATGACCACCGCTACTTACCGCAGTCAGGACAAAGAAGAGACAAAAAATTATTTCACAGACACTTGTGTATTGTTATACCATTCTCACTTGTTATCACAGCATGTAAAATAATGTAATTAAAATATCCAAGGAAGAAAAATACGTCCCTGACTTACGTGGCCGAGCGATTTGGAGCGCCCTCTGGATTGATTTTTTTGACATATCACGTCAACTAGTGTTGTCCAATCAAAATTTAAACAGTAGTTGATTTCAACAGATAATTGTGGAAAATTACTAAATATATATTTTTGGGGTTTTTAAATATGTACTACTTTTTATTTATTTGTTTTCAGCAATAACTTAGCAGTATACGATCGTATTAGACAAATAGTCCCTAGAGGTAAAGCTCTAAATGTTTACAAATTAGCATACCTCCGAGATTTGTCTTAAACTAGGATAGGGTCTGCTCAGAGGCGGATTAAGTATCTAGAGCGCCCTAGGCAAACATCTCATCGGCACCTACCCGCATCTCTCTATCGCCCATACTATATTTATTATATTAAAAGCATCCACCAACCATCTAATCTAAGAGGTAGCGTTTGACAGTTCTGACAGATCGAAGTATAGCAATGGAGTCAAAGAAAACGATTACTAAAATATCTGATTCTTAAGAGCTTCCGATTTCATTTCTTATTACGTACTAATCGATAACAGTTTTACAGATTTATGTATGTTACTATAAAAGCCCGTTTAATTTCACATCATAGGTTATACTAGTAATTTTCAGTATACACTAGACTTGGGACACGAGCGATTTTTGCCTACAAAGATTTATTTAAAATTATATTAACTTACATACTTTTAATTTTAATTATCCGATTTCGTTGAGATTTGGATGTCAAACGAATTTTAAGCATTATTAAACACTTTAAGACGCCTGGACTGAAAAATTACTCGTTATTAATAAATTCAATTTTTCGTACATTTTAACGATTATTCGAAAAACATCTATTGTGTATAAATTATTTATTTTGCTTTGTTTCAAAGATTTAAATTTAGTATTAAGCATTCTATATCTTGTGACAAAATAAAAATAGCTACATATGTGTATGGTTTTACGGAAAAAGTTATTGAAATTGTGTGAGTTACGCGTAAACAAAGTTGTTTCGTCTTGAAAAGTATGAAACCACACGGTGTGTAAGTAAACTGCGCCGGAAATAGGAGGGGTCCAATAACAGCTTTTATTAAGACGTCTGGACCTTTCTTTGGTGACAGATGGCCTCACCTGGCACCCCCAGGCCTGCACATATGCAGGACGGAGGTTAGTCAGCGACTTCCGGCGCCTGCAGTACCTGGCCCGTTCCCAGGTCCAGCGGACCGGTAGAGTAGAGTTTTGAGCCTTCAGGTCCCGCTCCACCCTCTGTTTGAGCATAACTGCACAGATAGCGTAGTGGTTGAGGTGGTCACCTCGCTGCTTCCTAGTGTTGAGTGTTGTGGGTTTGATCCCGACGTGGGACAACACTTTATGTGAACCAAAAATTGTTGGTCTGAGTCTGGGTGCTCTTTGTGTAAGTTTCATGTATGTTTGTAAAGTCCCCCGCGAGACTTTTTTTTTACTTTTTTTAGTTTTTATAAGTAGGTGGCGGAGTTCCACGCGTTCTCGCTCCGTACTATGGCCGCTATTATGGTACATAGTGAGATAATTCCAGCCACGCCGGTCATTATAGCAGTGCGTGGAGCGCCTTTAAGCGCACGCTTTGGCCACCGCAGTGGTGGCCCACAGGCGTTCGTTACTTGTGCATCAGACACAGGTGATGAGAGGGTCCCGGGTTTCCTCTGGAGCCAATCCTCCATAACGTTTATCACCGCCGTTAAAATGGCGTGCCCGGCGCTTGGTTGCCTAAGTCTTTCCCACGAGGACTCTCTACTCCCAGGTTCCCGAATCAGAACAAGATCCCTTAGGCTTTGAGGCTGATGGAAGAAGAAGGCCTCAGATTTGTGCAGTCACCTCGGGATCCAGCCGCGGGATCCATAGCCCTGCCCACTTAACGATGACCAGCTGGAGCGCCTCCACGGGCGGCGCCAAAGCCAGTACGTGGAGCCTGAAGCCGGGATGACCAACGAGTCATCGTGGCTCGAGGAGCGGCCTTACGCTAATCATTTTCGCAATCCCATAGGAGTTTGCCGCCGCCATCCCCTGAGAGGACCTAAGCCTCTTAGAGAATGGTGGACCTTAGTCTGGGCGGTCAGGGTTTTTGACCACACCGGTGCACCATATAGTGCCATTGACTACAACCCTGTCTATTACTAAAACTCATAGAGTAATCTCAACTACAGCTGCAGTTGTAGCTATTGCATTTTTGTGTACAGGCACTAGCGTCAATCTTCCTAGGTATCAGAAAAAGAAAGCAAAGAAGTAGTGACAATTACGTAATATAAACTCTTAAACAACTCTGCAGAATTAAAGGATCGTTTATATTGTGTAAGTATGTGCATACTTACTGACACAATTCTTACTCGTATTATGTTTGTAATACTTATGTTATAAAAGCTATGATTATGTGTACCGTACCTGTGTATACGGATTTGTGATGAGAAATAAATAAATATGTAAGGCATATATTTAAGAGGAAAATCGATCTAAGTGGCGTGCAATGGCAGAGGCCTATGCCTAGCAGTGGACTGCGATAGGCTGATGATGATAACAATAGACATAGATTTTTTCTTTAATAATTTTTTTTATAACTTTTATAAGCTCGTGCCCCTAGGCACGTGATTACTTTGCCTTAGGGATAATCCGCCATTGGGTCGGCTTAAGACTACCACGATATGCCTGAACTTCAACTTTTTTACGCGAGCGGCTGACCTCGCCAACCTAAGTGCTTCGGCAATATCAGTTCTGTAGAAAGACTGTTTTCGGAATTTTAGGGCTCCAAATACCCAAGCAACGATTGCCACAGATATTCGTATGGCAACCGGGCCCAACGGCTTAACGTGCTCTCCGGACACGGAGGGGTCTCAATGTGTCTCAACGGGCCCTCATACAGCATTAACATCAGCGATAAGAATAATCGAGTAAGTGCTAATAAAGTGTAGTATGTATATTCTACAACAAAATCTCAAGCCCTGTACAAAATCGTACCCGAAACAAATTTTCAAACTTTAAGTAAACAGCAACTTTGTAGCATACTACATACTGTGTAGACTTTCTGCATAATGCTTGGGATTAAGTAAGTTCCCTAAATTTCTTTAGAGACGTCTTATATCTTGATTTTTTAACAGTATTCGGCATCTATTTTTTTTAATGGGATAGGGGGCAAACGCCCATGAACGCCTGCAACTCAGGAATCACAAGCGCGTTGCCAGCCTTTGAGGAAGGAGTACGCTCTTTTCTTGAAGGTTTGACGGTCGTACCGGTCCGGAAATACCGCAGCCGATAACTTGTTCCACAGATTGATCTATGTAAATCTATACTTTACTTTGAGTAACTATTAATTTTTGTATTAATAAAAATGTGTTTGTAAATAGAAGTGCCATTTCGGACATTTTTCAGCTCAATTTTTACATTCGTTTCGTTTCGTTAGCCTCTTCAAATGTCTGATTGTAGGATACATCGTGGAGCCTTAGCTCTACAAAGTCATCATCATCATCGACATCAACCGACTTTTTAGATATATAGAGCTGCCCGACCAGTTTCCACCATAAAAATAGCATGCCGTCGAATGAGACCTGGAGTGTCTAATTACGATGATGATAAAGATACTGTACCTATAACCTATTGTCACGGTGTTCACGTACGGTTTCGTTTGACATCTTAGTGGTATAAAATCAGATAGTCTTAGACGTTATCGATGTTCAGTTGTTCTGACATTCCTTATTCTAACAATTCAGGAGCTGCATAGTTGGTGTAGTTTTTAGTATTTACTCGCGAAAGATGAAAGTACTCGTATATGCTTTTACTATTCAAAATACAAATAGGTATACGAGCTGACTTGAGAATATCCTCTATTTTTTCATCGCTTTAATAGTGACTTGTGTCGAGAATTCTACAGGTAACAGCAGAAATATCCTTATATTATTTATTCGTCTATGTATTTTAAATACTATTATCAAATTAATGTTATATTTTCATAGTTTATTCTTTTTATATAATACATGTGCACCTGCCATGCCCCTTACTGAATCTGAAGGTTGACTGGTAGATAATGTGGCATGTGCCATGTGGCATTAAGTCCGCCTCGTGCAAGTTGTAATGCAGGAAGTGTAAAAATAAATAAATAAATAATTGGGCTATGTAACACTAAAACAATTCTTCAATTCGAAACCCGTAGTCCCTCAGATAAGCGCGTTTAACCGGACAAACTCTTCAGTTTTATAATATTAGTAGAGATGAATACCACTTATGGAAGATTTTATTTCAATAACTAGTGAAACACTCACGTTCCGAGGAGTGTGATACGTGTTACGCAAGACCTCGTTGCAATTAGAATAACGGCTTACAATGAATTTTTAAATGCTACTTATAGTTATATAATTACGAACATAACAAACACTTCAATACGTTTATCTTAGAAGTAAAGCAGACGGAGTAAATACATTTTATATGCAAATTTACAATTTAATTATACCTTTGGCTGATTTTCGCATCCAAAGGTTGGTTGGAACGGGACACAATTATGTAGGATGTTTCCACTCTAATAATATTGTACAAATTATCTACTATCCCCATTTTCCCTGAAAAAACATGACATGGCAAAACTATAAATAGGGCTTAACCAAAAAATTAACAGGCTCAGCACACTTATTTGTCTGGTGTGAGAACTAAATCCTAACTACCTACCTATTTCTGACAATATGATGTACCTTTTTTCCTGTACGGAACTCCCCTCGGATACCACCCATCAGTGGGTGATTGTACAGGACTCAAACCGACCAAAAACCGCACGCCGTCTCCAGGTACCAGCAGCCGGGGAACCAGGAACCCTAGAAAGGAAAGCCCTGATACCCCTGTGGTTCCCTTACTGTCCCCGAAGGGCGTGCGCGCTCCTTAGCGCGTCGCGCCGTCACCCACCGCGGCCTGTTTCTGCTTCGGCACATTATTATGTACCTGAGGCAATTCAAATCTGGTTTCATTTAAATAATAATATTTTCACTAATTGATCAGCGAATAAACAGTTTAAAGCGAATTTACATTTTTTTCTTGGCAACGTGCATAGTCGGAGCTATAAACGTAGACACTTGCAAGTGCTGCGAATAACCGCTTATTGTAATTATTGCTTACAATAAGCGGTTGTTCGTAGCGGCCTGGGCATTGCGAATGAAAAAAGTCCGTATCAAATACCTAACTTTAAAACGTAGATTTTTTGTCGACTCGCACAAAATATTCATGTTGTTTGTGTACATGTTCTTACATGTACACATCTACTACGAGTACTTTAATAACAATATTATCTAACCCAGTCTGCAAATGCAAAATTTTAGTTACAGTAGATTTTGATACAGCGTTTGTGCTTCATGTATTTTATAAAATACTATTTTGAAACTAATTAAAGAAAATTCACGAATTAATGTGCGATCTACAATTTTATTTTTTAAGAACAGTCAAAGTATATCAAAATTATTTATTACATTTTAGAATATTATGCGAGACATCTACTTTCATTTCTTTGTTACTTCATGTTTACCGTATTTTGAGCCAGATTCATACAGTACCAATTATTTATATTATTAATACAAGTTGATTCATTACCGCTTTCTATATCCGTGTATTTTGTGGGTAAAGTAATAAAAAGGTATATTGCTATTTAAATAAAATAAATAGACATAATAAAAATTCAAACATCTGTATTTCAATGATAAATTCATATCAATGATTTAGTCGAAAACAAAAATTTTAACAAAGTATTGCGTAAGTAAGTTTTGAATTGATTGGATAAAGCCACCGAATCACATATAATATTAATATAATTATAATTTTTATTTGAAAATAAAATATAATAAAATTTGTGAAATATAAACGACAATGGCCAAACAATCGGTGCTACGTAAATCTTTCTCCAATCAACGTAGTACTACGCAGAGTTACAGTCTAGCAGGTCTACACTTAACATTATTTCAACACTTCATTCTTTCAGCAATATAAAAGTATTCAAATTCAAACTGATCACAAAGTTATGGCAGTCCCATGGAACCCCATGCAACACTTAACATATGTACCAACACAGCACGAGTCATATATGACATTTCGTTCAGAACAGTTCACAAGTGTCCCATTTCATTTTAAACTGACATCACTGAGCGAAAATTTCAAAATTATATCATTACATTTATAGTGTTCTATAACGAGCGACTATAATACACTTGCACCTCTCGGAAAAATGTCACATATCGCCCATCACTCTCTTACATAAATATATGGTTGATTCAATCTTAATTAATGAGATGTGGTTTTCCATCGTTGGTAAAAATGCAAAAACAATCACATAACAGACTAGTATCCAAAACTTCATCAAAAATTACATAATTTCTATTTATTGCAAAGGATAGGCCACAAACTTAAAGGCGATCACACAAATACATAAAGCTCAATTTTGAAACGCGGATTTTATAAATCCAAAAATATAAACCAATCGACAGAGACGTATAGCACGTAGATCGGCGGAACTATCTCGGTATAATACGATTTTTATCGACCGTCGCCGGTCCGCGGGGACGCTCGCGTCCCCGCACACTACACTCAACTACATTTCGATAAATCTACTCAGTCGTTTGTTACTCATAAAAATATATCTTTAAAAGGCTCAAATGAAAGCGCGCGGGCGTCACTGGGCGGGGCGGCGGGGCTCCGGGGCTGCGGGGCTCCGGGGGGCTAGTGCACGGGCAGCTCGGCCGGCACTGCGCGGCGCCGCAGCAGCGTGGACTCGGCCGGCGGCGACAGCCCCAGCTCGCCCAGCGGGTCGCAGCCGCACGCCAGCGCGCACGACTTGCTGCCGCGCAGCCGCCCCGCGCTCGCCGGCCGCTCCATGTACGAGTAGTTCATGGAGAAGTGCTGCTGGATCACGCGGTTCACCGCCATCGCCGACTCCGCGAAGTTCGACAGGTTGCGCGCTGACATGTTGCTGTGGACGAAGACACCGCACGTTATTATACTGCCTACTGACTTAAGTACTTTTTCAGTCGAACGTCTCGTGACGCTCGGCTTCACTAATATTTCAGAGAAGTCGACACTGACCGTTTAATGTTCATAGGGGTCTGTAACTGCGGGTGTAAAGCCCTGGGGTCGGCACAGCGCAGCCAGGGGTGCTGCAGTACGCGCTCAGCGCTGAGGCGGTGTGACGCCTCGCGGACCAGCAACTGTTTTATCAGCTCCTTCGCCTCACTCGATATGTCCGCCCATTCCTCTTCGGGGAATGAATAGCGACCCTCCTGTGTAACAATAAAAGAATTAAAAGGTTAATCTATAGGTCACCGGTTTCAATACAGCTCGAAGGACCATGAGTTGGGATACTTAATTCATCATCAAATTTTGAAGCATTAAGGATAGCGAAAATTACTTCTTAATAAAATAAAATTAAAATTTCAATAGAACATTAGAATTTGACAGTTACCTGTATCGAGTTAAAGAGCAGCTCCTGGCAAGCGCGACAGTTCTCCCCACGTTCCCAACCGCAATCTGAGCCACAGTCGGCCCTGAACGGTGGGTACCCGCACAACAGAATGTAGGCGATTACACCCAATGACCACAAGTCACAACGCTTATCGTAATGTGTTGCTGCCGAGCCCGCAAATAGTGACACTACTTCTGGTGCCATGAATTCGGCGCTGCCCACCTACAGACAAAAGAAATCACATTTTAAGTAAAGAATTTTTTTACATCCATTCTCCGCATTTACGTTACGCGGTTACGTTTAGTATACGGTTTCAATAATCTAAATTGTATTTATACAATCCATTAGTTGCCTCGTTGAACCAAACTTAGATTATTAGATAGATTCCATTACACACATCCAAATCTATTTACTTAAAAAATCACTCCTCTTATTTAAAACTTCTGATGCTATTTTGTTTTCAAGCTATAGTTATGTTTTGTAATGTTTGCCTTTGAAATTTGGGTTCATAAAATCAGTTAATTAAGAATGTTACTACCTAAATCTCAAGTTGAGAAATCTGCACTGAATTATTGTAGATATAATCCATCCACATAACTAAATTCAATGAGATTACGTTAAATTGTTCGGAGCACATTAAATATTTTAGTTAGGTACAAGATGTTTGCTCTGGCTTGAAGGTCTCTGTTCGATTATTTCTCTAAGAGATTACTCGGGATTTAGATTACACTAAACTAACGTGTAACACAAGGTCTATTTCAAGCGCCTTCAAGATCAATTATTGTTATCTACTATCTATGTGTTCACAACTGACCATTTGAAAATAAAACCAATACTTCCGAGTTATCTGTTGCCTTCTTTTAATTCTTAACAAAAAGTTCTATGGCCCATATTTATATTATTAGCTTATTTCATTTTAAAAAATACATCAGAGGTCATATGATTTTATTCCCTAAAGCCCGGTAGGGCGATATTACCCACAAAATTCTATGGATCAGATATTGTTACTTTACAAAGCAATACAATACATACAAATACGAGTATAACAATACCCTCTGTCTCGATTCAAATCAAAGTAATAGTTGCTAATGTTTATTCGTAAACAATATTTTTTTACGATTTAAAGTGTCAATTATGAAATAAATTATTAAGACCATGGTCATTGTTGATAGATGTTTAATCTTATGAAGGTTTAGTTTATCATATCTTCTATATAAAAAGTGTATTTCATTGTTGTTTTTATCTGCTGATATTCAATAACATCTTATTAAATTTATTGATTTCGAACCATTTTTCTTTGTAACAACATTACTCGTATAATAATAAATATTAGTTTAAAAACTTAATTTTGCCGATATTTATCGACAATATTTTAAGTGCTTCGTGAACCAGATATACTTTCTATTATCGATGATTTTATCAGTGTATTTTTCAATTAAATTAAATGTACACTGAAATTTTTAATTCAAAGGCGACATAACTAATTGTATTATATATATATGTAATTCGTTGAAAAAAAATATTAAAATCGGCTAATAAAAACGTGACTTAGTAATAGTTAGTATAAAGATTACTTTTTATAAAATGCCAACAATGAAGAATATAATTATCCTAATTTTCTGGCATAATTTAATGTAAACGACATTCTTCCAGTCGATAGTTGGCAATCAAATTATACATAAACTTAATTCAACCATAACTATCATAGTAGATTCAACTAGAACTGCATGTTTAATATGTGGCATACTCCAGGGTCATAAAAACTCTTAATTCAGTCGGCCAACAGTCTAGTATGACGTACCATAGTGTTAAAGATCTATAACATAACATTTTATAAGGAAACTCACTGGCGTCATCAGCTGCGGCGTAGCCAGCGGGCTGGCGAGGCTCGACGTAAAACTTATACCACTTCCTAAATCAAAATCACAAATTTTCACTGGGCAAAGTCTGTCGCGATGCACGCATAATATATTTTCTGGCTTGAGATCTCTGTGTGCAACGCCTTTACCATGAAGAAAGTGTAAGGCGTTCGCTATCTCACGAACGATCTCAGCCGCTTGTGGCTCAGAGAAGTAATGGTGCTCCTGTATGCGGGACAGGAGCTGACCGCCGTTGATCTGCAACAACAGTAACGAGGATTTAATTTTGAGACCCAAAGTGAATGAGTACAGTTCAACAACAGCAGCTCAAACACAATTGCACAAAATTTTGAAAAGAAATTAGAATTAAGAATTGATTGAAAGTTTATCAATTTAATTATTCGTTTAAGTGTATTATATATTGGAAAAATCATAACCAGTCAGTAAACAGACATCCTCAATAAAACCGACAACTGTAAAGGCACATATGGTTCAGAAGTTTATCGTTCAATACGTTTGTTAGTACCCACACAGGAACAGACTACAAGATAACAACAACTGTAAATAGCGCTGTATCAGATATCACACGTTTTCGCAACGAGTAACTATTTGCAGGCCAACCGACCGTCAATTAGGAAATGATACGGTATTAGTTATTATCATATTCCTATAAGTTATAATTCAATCTAGAAAAGAAGATGAGAATTGCAATGATAATATTAATTGCAATGATTATAAGACTTAATTTCTCTCAGATCCATATTTTGTTAATAAATTTTATACCTTTGTTACTAGCTACTAAAGTCATGGTTATAGAGGACTCGTAATTCCTATAGAAAGGAACAATACAACTAAAGCTTATTTTCTTTTTCTTTTCTAACATACCCATTTTTTTAGTTTTAAAGAAAGAGCCTTTTAATTTGGTACGCTTTTTTATGACTTTACGCTACGTTTAATGACTTTACGCGTAGACGTAACAAGTGTAAAAACACTAGAAACCTGTAGGAACATGCGCATGAGCATGATAAATAAATCGTTTAAAGTGTATAAACACGGAACTGTTACATATTATTACTTAGCTATGAGAACGGTTAATTACTAATAGGCTTTCTGCAATGTCCTTTAATTAACTTTGTCAGTATAATAAACAGTGTCGTATTAATAAAATTGCAAACGATAATATTTGAACAGGATTCAGTAGTAATTCTTCTATTGTAGTATAACCCTTATATTCCGAGGCAAAAAACGCGTTTAATTTTTATTGTTAATATGTGGCTATGTAGTTAACACACATGTTTAATGAGTCATTACTAAATGCGTTACAATTGCACGAATAAGACGATTCACATGCAAAATCATGTCTGAAATATCCATCAGAATGTGAGATAATAAACCTCACTGTGTAACACAATGCACGCATGAATACAAAAACTATATTCCACAACATCATGAAAATAAGCAAAGGAAAAACAGCATGTTTTATTTACTAATATTAGTAGGTATTTAAGTATGATAGGAGTTCCTTTAGAGCCTTTTAAAAATCGTATTTTATTAAAGAGCCTTTTCAATGAAATAACGGCAATTGAGCTATACATGCAAACACATTTTTCAATGCAACTGTATGAAGTAAGTGTAATAATACTGCACGATGAAATACAAAAATGCCTTGAACATGAGTCGCATTTATTCTTTAATGTACGTATGTAAGTGAGGCATAAAACAATTTTCATTATTCAAGCAAGCAACTTGATTGGAAAATTTACTGAATTTAGAAGCGGGTTTTTAGAGTATTCAAAACTGTAACTGTGAGATTTATTCAGTATGCTCAATCAATGAGACTTTTAATATTGTGAGTCTAGTGTCTAATTGTCTCTATTTTAAAAGTTTTTTCAGTGAAAGAACTTTTTTATTTGTAAGGAATTGTTACTTTCTTTATACGGGGTGCATATCGTTAACAATTCAATTTGACTGTCCTGTTGGTCTAGCGGTTAGTGACCCTCAATGCTACGCCAGAGGTCGTGGATTCGATTCCCACTCAGGGCAAATGATTGCGTGATGAGCACTGTCATTTGTTCTGTGTCTGGGTGTACTTTATCTATAATATGTATGTATTTAGAAATATATAAGTATGTGTATCAGCAGTCTGGTTACAGGCCGTGTGTGAAATGTGTTAAAATAATATATGTATATTATATGATCCAGAAGAAAGTACTGTTCAAGAAAGCTATTATCATTTAAAGCATACTAAAAACACCAAATGTTGTGTTTTCCATAAGTCGAATAAATATAAAATGCAGTAAAGATAGTAGTGAAGGATTACCTTCTCGAAGACAAGATAAAACTTGTCGGTGTCCTCAAAGAATTCAATGAGCTGGATTATGTTCGGGTGTCCCTGGCAGTAGTGGAAAGTCTCCACCTCGCGGAACACCCTGGCGCGGGCGTGCCCCGGCACTTTGTCGATGATCTTCACTGCGAACTCTTGGCCCGTATAAATGTTCACGCACGTCTGTACCGAAGCGTACGCGCCCTCGCCTAAAACCTCACCTGTAAGCTTGTAGAGGTCTGTGAACAATTCAAAATTATATTCAAACTATTCTCACTATTTTAAGCGCAAGTTCGTTAGGTTTTTAATGATAATTGTCTTAAATGGAGTCAAATTAAGTCATTCGAATTAGTTGGGTTACCGACACCGCCTGCTTGATCAATCACATTGATGCAAGTCACATCAATCGAGTGTATTCGTTAGGTTTGGATGCTAATTGTCCGATTTCGTCGTTATAGTTGGCTTATGGGGTGTTTTCAAAGCGTTGTATATGGTATCATCATATCAATCATCATCACATCAAAAGGTTTTGGCGTACTATACTACGCTGGTCAGACAGGTTGGTATAGGGCATAGGGCTTGTTTCAAGTTTTCCTTGTCTTTGCAATACTGTTGTCCTGTAGTTTTCTCCCTTAGTCGGCTCATACGACACCCACGGGATGAATAGTTAATAAAATATAATATATATAATAAAATATAAAATAAAATAGAGACTTAATTCACCACACGGATACGGACGGTGTTGACCACACGGATATGGTATAACCACCAATAACAAAATATTACAGCATTTCTTCAAAGAAAATTGCACAGTAAGAATATCAAGTGAAAATTGTTATAAATCGCTAATCTTCTATATTTAAAAAAAAAAAACTGAGAAGTAGCACATCTATCGCATGGATGCCGTTTTAAAGGCAATCATAGGAACTTATTTAGGGAAATTATCGGTTCCCATCTATCGTTTCTGAAACACGTATAAGATTAATGCAAAGTAAGCAAACGTAGCGTTTGCTTACTTTGCATTAAGATAAGAAAGCAAGTAGGTAGATAGAGTCCAATATTTGTAAATTCTTACCTTGGAAACATGACGTGACAACGGAGCTCCCTGAGCGCTTCTTCCTGCGGCGCTTCCTACGCGCCTCTTCCTTGCGTCGCTGCAAGTCTTCACTGTCGGGTATAGGGACTGGTGCCGACGCCTCATTCCCGCGCGGACTATCGTCTAATTCCCTTTCACTGCCCGACTGGCTACTGCAGCGACCCACGCCTACAACAGATAGAAACAACAAATTATATTCAAGAACGCTTTCTTTACGTTAATTTACACTAATTATACACAGTATAGGTATTCCATTACGTTTACACCAGATAAACAGAGTGCAGATATGTTGGTTTAAGATATTTCTTCTAGGTACAACATTGTCTTTTTCGCAATGTCACCAATTTACATTTGAATAATTAAATAATTGTGTACATTTGCATGTTATGCCAATATGCCGTATTCTGTATGAAGGCCAAACTCTACGTAAGTATATTGTACCTATATTTATCTCGTAATCGTAAATCGAGTGATTATGCAGGGCCGATTTTCACTTCCTTTGGTGCAAGATATTATAATAATATGCTGCATTCAACAATTTTTATAAAAGAATGTTCATTCCGTTAGAAAGTTCTATCATGTTATCAATCAATTGTATCTAATGACCAAGTTTCTAAAAACAAAGGGTATGCATATCAGGGCGCCTGGTGACGGTTGTCATCGATAATATTATTCTGACGCGAGACGTGTGTGCAAGCTGAGCTGGCAAACAAAGCCGGTTCAACGACCTACATGGCCGCACCCAGCGCTGCGCGTACGCGCCCACGTTACGCGATCACTCTGTTTCTTGGTGTAAAAAGTAGCCAATTTGCCCCTACTTTTAAATACCGACCTAACTTCAAATAATTAAGCGCATAGTTATTTCCAATTGAATATGTTTCCATTAAATGAACTCGACAACAATCCAAAACGAATCAAAAGTCTGGTATCAATAAAACCTGAATAAAACTAGCTAGTGGCCAGAAGCCGACGCACACATCAAGATAAAGGAACTAGCAACGAGTAAAACGCAAGACGACTCAGCAATGAGAATCGGTACTGTCTACGTGATCAGTGTAGTCATTTGTTTGGGCTTATTTTATCTTCCTTGTTCGCTTGCAACTAGTAGTCTTGCAATTACAATTTTAATTTAATTATCGGCACGTTCTGTAAATCGTTAAATGATGCGTGTTCATTCGGTTCATTTGTCATAATGAACGCAAAAATATTTGTGAGGAATTAAATGCGCGTTATGACCTCAACTCAGAACGCATGACAACTAACCGAATGCGCAATAGCCGTACAGTTCAACAATCGTAGTTGAGGCACACCTCCGTATACAATCACCCGTTTCAACATAGATACTTCCTGTTTATATGCTAAATTGTTTTAAATCCACCAACAGATTGACGCTTGAAATAAGCATGTCCTGCTGTTGTTTGTAAATATTGCTTGTGTTTATAAACAAGGAAACTTTCGAATTACTTAATTGTTTATCAGCAGTCTGGTTACCAGAGTACAGGCTCTGCCTAGTTTGGAATCAGGCGGCCGTATGTGAAATGTGTAAAATTATTATTATTACTAAAAACTAATAATAACTGACCCACCGATTTACTGTTTAAAATCAATTAGAAAACGACATAAAATCAACACGTATTTAGTTTTGACGCTGTTATTGGGTGGTATATTTAATCGTAGGCGTCAAAAATGTAGCTAAGTTGTATCGATGGTTTGACAGTAAAATGAATGTCACGCTTGGAAACCGCTACGCTACTGAAATGGACGTCGAATAAAAACTGAATTCAATTAATGTAACAGATTTGATATCAGATCTGTACCAAGTAATTTTACACTTGTCTTGAGGTATCGCTTATTCGTCGCGTGACGATTCGATCTGCACGCCTTCACGTGGCCTAGCACACGTCTTATGCCGAGGCAGTTACGTAAATCATCCTCAGCTCTCGCAGCAGCCCCACAAATATATTAAAATGTGTATTGTTTATCATGAGTCCTTCATGGTTCTCTTCAATCTACTTAACAAGAACTTTAAAACCACACCATGCAAAGTTCGTCGCTATATTCTCCTTAGTAGTGGCAAAACAATAGACAGCACAAATAAAAAATACTTTCATAATTTCATGTTTATGTGTAATGTCACAGAGAATTGCGCTCAAGAATAGAACACAATTGTAATTGTACAATATCTCGATGTATGGAAACTTAATGATCTGACTCATTATAAATTTCTAAAAATGTTTCGTAAATTAACCTCAAGCATGCAAATTAATGTACATGTGTGCACACAGTTATAATTGCGCGATTGCCTTTAAAGGTAAATATGAGTTTTATTATTAGAACTATATTAGCACGTCGAGTTAATTTTATAACCACAATATTAATATGCCCTGCAGTAAGTGTCTACTTTCTAATCTAGTGGGTGGGCATAAACGTTCGGGCACGAAAGCGCTCTCTAGTTGCCAACTGTAGGCCTACCACCTACCATGCTTTGTCTTATACCTTTAAGCTATTTAAAATCCTTACTTTCTAATCTAACAATAAATACAACGTTACGTATGATATGGAATTGCAAGCAAAAACTCAAAATAAAAAACTTTAAGCCTGAATATTATAAAACAAAATACCATGTACTTTTAAAATAAAAAAGTATGCAAATTTAATTAGTAATTCTTTACTGTTGTTAATGAGGATTGGAAGTTCATAAGAAGAATAGGCATCGTTTGTGGGTAATTTTGAAAGACTCCTAGACTGATGACTAGGAGTCTTTTAAATCAATACTTGATGACTCAATACTTGTTAACTAACATGATTTTATTAGTCAGTTGCTTTATCCACCATAATTTTAGAATACAAAGATCAAAGTCGACGTTTGCACGAAGAATCGTGGTGTTAAATAAACTGCCAAGTCGACCTGGCACCGAACTCAACGAGATTATTTTCTAGGTGAAACTTCAACTAGGGCATTTGAACATCTAACTAGTGCAGTACGTAACAAACCACTTTCACTGATCACTGCTTGACTCCCCTCTATCTAATGATGCGTAAGAGTATTCGATAAAAAATTGTCTCGACAAAAACAGAATCTGGCAGTAATAGTAGGCAACAAAATTTTCATCTAATATTTGAAAAGTTTAATGATTAATCATAAATGGTTATCATGATTAAAAGTTATCGATTAAACAAGGGACTTCGGCACATATAGGCTATCTCGACCGGAGTGATTCGTCGTTCGATTCCACGGCCTAACAAAAAATTGGTGTTAGGCAATTCTAATTGCTTTTTACAGAGTGATAGAGGCTACCATCAGAACAATTCAATATCTCTCTTATTATCCAATCTAGTGAGAGCACATTAAGGACGGCAATGCCTTTGTGCCTCTTGACTTATGGGGTGTCCATGCGAGCACCCTGTAATTACTAACTGTCAGATGACCCATCTTTTGCCACTATTTTCTTCTAAAACTTCCCCCCTATTCTCTTCTCTTCTAAAAAAGACACCTAATTCAGTAGCTAAAACCATTAGCAAAGTTAGAAACTAATTAGTTATGAATATTTCAAGCTTTTCCCTTGACAGTTAAGATTGAACTACAATTTTTTCAATGAGTTAGGTACGTTTGATCTGAAAGCACTAACAACTTTAGAGGAATGTGTGGCTGGGTAGAAATCGATTCGCAAGAGGCGCGAGGGGGGAATGTAGGAGGAGACAGGAGAGCAGCCTAATATTACACCGGAACTGACATGAAGTCTACCATTGTCAAAGCTACTCCTTTTTACTCAACCAATGAACACGATTGGCTAATTCCAATCAAGTAGCAATTCCGATTCACAGTTTGCATCCGATAATTGTTAAAAACAGTTATGTCATTTTTTTCCTTTTGAGATAAGAGTTGTTTATACATACAAGTCAATAAGTGCATTAGATGCCAAGGTCAGTCAATTATAAACTTTGATGAAAATTTATCAAAACAAACTTCAGATCATACGATGAAAAATGTTAAACATAAGCAGATAACACACATTTTCAACATCAACACATTGTCATGTTAAAAAATAATCTCAAGAACTTGTACGGCAAAATTCAGCATAACTAGAGTGCTGCGCAGTTTTGTTTTAGTAGGTGACCTTGGCCATGAACGCCGTGGGGCGACGCGCTCCAGCGGCCATGTTGAATTGAAACCGTGGAGAGTAATGAAACTGCATAAAATTATAAACGCATTCTTACAATTTGATTTTTAAACAGTGGATCAAAAACAACCAATAAAGGCGCGCTGTGGAAAGGCGAAGTAAATCAAATATGTACCGTACAATTTACACATACTCGTTGAGAAGTATAATCTCATAATCGACCCACTATTATAATACCAACGAATATTTTTCTAACCATCGAAGATATAAGTACTACGTACTATAGTAGTACGTATATCTCGATGTTTCTAACTTTATCTACCCACGAAAACGAAAGAAAACACACTTAATTACTGCGATTGTTCGAATCAAGTAATTAATTTGACATCATTCCTAATACATGGGCAATATAAAAATGCATTGAAGTAACTAATTGACCACGTTGTATCATCACTCATACATATAATCCAAGAATAATTGTTTTTATTAGTTGTACAAAATGTAGGAAGGATTTGAAGTGAAGTGACGAAACGTGCCGTTATCGCTTTGATGGTAATTTTTTTTTTATTGCAAATACTGCATTTCTAACAGACATAGGTAACATTACTTTTTTTATCTTCAGATACAGATCTTATTTTATACACTACTTATTGATGAAGTTTATTTATATAACTCTTCTTGTAAACGACAGTACAGACATCTTGTAACAGACAGTTACATGTGTGACCTGAATTTATGTCATTTATCAGTAGTGACATTGCCCGGGTATTATAAATAGTGCATTATTTTTATTCACTTACTCCATAAAAACAGATCAATCTGCAAAACTCGAATGAACTTAGGAATCGAATCGGAATAGAATTTTGTTGTTAAATAAGTGATAGGGTTCCTTTATTAACTTCAAAAGATTCTCCACTTTGGTGTCAGAAGTTATTTGTTAAGTTAAATCTTTTAAGTAGAATTTAAGATTCCTGTTGAACAATAAACCTAAAATTAGTCGAATTCGGTCAATGTTGCGAAATTGTGAATGGTGAAACGAGTGGTGGCTGTGCTCAACCGGTCAACGCTCGATTCAACTTACATGAACTTTGACATTTGAAACAATATCATGAAGTTTACAAGGGTTTTGTTCTTAGTCTTCAAAGTTGTTTACATTAAAAACATTATAAAACGCAGTCAGCCTAATGCCGTCTTAAATCAACCTTTGCTAGCGAGAAGAATGATTGCAGTGAAATAACAAACTGAACTGCAGTAATAACAACGTCACAGAGCGCTCGTAAAATTCTAAGTATAAATTGCAATACCTTGAGTATGGTCAGTGTCACACTCCTGACATCAATAAATCTATTGTTAGAACTATGTATATACATAAATACATCCATAGCATATCCATAAAAGTAAAAATTCCAATAAGAAACTTTTTAAGAAATTAATAAAAGAACCGAAGATATAACTGTAAACTTTATTAGATTTCAACAAAAAGAACAGTTGAGGGTTTCAAAATATTTAATATACCTTGTTTAATGCATACGATAATGCCTGCAAATGCAGTTATGCAATGCAAAAAAAAAAAACAAATTGCAAGTAGGTACGCATCGTTAATACAGTAACGTCTAACAATTTGAAAGTATAGTGTTTTAATTTCAGCAGGAGTTAACAACATCGCACTTCTGAAATGAATGAAACGATGACGAAACTGGCTATTGTCTAATATGTCTAACTTAGTAGCAATTTTATTATCGTATAAGCTGTAGATATAACTAACGGCTTTAAAAACAAATTAAAAATGGTCGATTTGTAAATTTCGCAAACCAACCAGTCCGTAGTTAACACAAAAAATTAAGATTCTACTACGCAATAAGCCGGTTGGACAGATGTAAAGATCAAGTATATTAAGTAAGTATGTGGCTTGAGCGAAATGAATATTTTTTTGGAATAAAGTGCAAACAAATCCAACTTACCGCTATCTACACTCTCTTCTGAAACCTTCTTCACCATTATTATGGACTGATGTGTTGATACAGCAATATTGAAAATTATAACGAGTAGGTGTACTACTCTTGAAAAGCCGCTTTCAAACTTGTAGCGGCTGCCTTCTCGACGTGAAATCGGAACAGCGTTAAAATTAATATAGAAAATAAACGCCAAAATAATTAATAAGCACCACTGTCGAGAAGGATTAACGGATAGTATGCCGGAAGGTATAAACAAACACTAATAGAAGGCGGAATGAAAAAAACTGTTGGTATCGTTAGCGATCCATTCTACACACGCCCGCCCGTCCGATGTTCTTAAATCCAACTGAAGAGTTCGGCTACCGAGCCGGCTCAGCCCAGCGCGTACCCCCGCAATCCGCATCCTCACCCCTCTCAACCTCCGTGGCTCTAGCAAAAGCCGTGAGTCGTTGTTGTGGCCTCTTTCGCTCGTGCGCATGCGTATTCCTTCGCACTGCTGACGTGTTTATATTTTTTGTCATTGTTTTTCTCCACGTACGTAGTCGTCGAAACCAGACATAAACATAGGTACCTACTTATTAACTAATATGTGTTTCATAATATATTGCTATCTATACCTATGTACATAAATGACAGTTTTTGCAACACATGTAAGTGATTTGTAAGCATTGCTTTTCAGCTGCAATACACACTGTTTTCCTTTTATTGTTTACAATTTTTTGTCACCCAGTAATTAACCGGTTAGAATATATATATGTGTACCATATTAATATTTAGTCGTAAACATTGTTCTTATGTTTTTTTTTTCAATTTAGGCAAAAACTAAGAGAAATAACACACCTACCTACAGTTCTAAAAAAGCCATACCCATACTGTGTTGTTTTCCTATTAGAAAAAAAGAAAACTAGGTACCTATGTTTCTTCTCTAATCTAGTTGGAAATGTGAAATCAAACTTAACATAAATTAGGTACATTACAGTTCCTCAACATTACTTGTACAAAATGGAGCAGGCTTCAGTTTCAGATATAAATATTAGCAGATTATTTCTATTCAAAATGAAAACACCTACATCTTACAAGGTATCTCCTCAGTATTAAAGACAGACAGACCAGTATGAATGAAAGAGCCCATTACAGCTGTATTACATAATCTTTCAAACTTAAATAAAAAGCAGTTTTCGTACACTGCACCATCCAGCTCCCATTAGTCTTATAATAATCTTATTTGTAAATAATATACGTTATAAAAAAGGGAACCCTTTGTCTTCCTAACCCTTCCATGAATGACCTTCAGGGTTTTGTTGACAAACATGATACGGGAACGGGTGCACGACGCAAAACGCACGTGGTAGAGGCTAACCGGTCCAACCGGCACCGCCATGTTTGTTGTCACGCCATCTCTCTCTCCTACTCCAACATCGGCCGCCACTCTTCTAACATTAATCGTGTCTCAGTCGCGCATGCTTTTCGCTTGCTGGCCTACGTGACCGACAATAACAATAACAAAACCCAAACAGATAGGTAATAATGCAAGTCAGTAACGAAATCTTACGTACTTCAATTTGGCATAACGATAAGTATACAAATTTGGGCTGATTTCTGAAAAACACAATCATTGTCGCACTTTAATCCGCATCTGTATCGTATATTGCGTATGTAGGACAAAGAACCTCTAAGAACAAGGCAGTCAATCAGCTGTAAGTTAGCATTAGATGACACCTGATAAAGTGATAACTGAGCTGTGATGATGAAGAATCATCAAGCGCTTATCTTTAGCAAACATCGTTAGATGATCTTATTTTCAGTATATTTCTCACTACATAGTGGTCATGTTTAATCATAATTTATAACGTTATCTGTTTGTTTTTACGGATAATACGAGGTAATACGACATTATAAAATAATTTTAAGTCACCTGTTACGATTTCGTGGAAAGAAGCCAAGAGGCTATAATTTCATTTTCCTGCGTATAAAGGGGCGTGGGTACCGCTTAGGGAGTTTAATGTGTAAAATTGCAACTGTTCACTACAAAACGCGTAAAAAAAATACACGCTACCAAAGCGTAATTTCCAGGAAACTACGCTCGTGTAGTACAAACGGTTGTAAAATATATTTTTTAAAGAGATAGTAATCTATGGGGGTGTACTACTATTACTACGCAGTAGTAAACAAAGAGCTTTTCCTTTGTTACGTCAGTCAAGGTTCTGTGTAAAAATAATGTTTATTAATTATGAGATAAAATTTGCACTAATTTTGAAAATCGATACCGTGGTTGGCACTCCTTGGGGGAGGCCTTCGTTCAGCAGTGGACGACAAGAGGCTGATGATGATGATGATTAGAAAATCACAATTGAAGAGATTTTGAACTTCTCTTATCCCCGTTTTTGTCTAGCTATAGGTTTGATTATTTATTTGTTAGATATTCATCTACTCCGAATTGGTCTCATTTCAAATACTTAGAAAAAATATTTTACCTGTCATGGTTGATAGCCTAAGGGAAGAAGATTAAAGCTTATTACGAATTGTCAAGATTTAGGCACATTAAATTTGTTTTAACTTTAATGTGCCTAAATTAACTTAACTCACTTTACTCAGTCGTGATGAAAATATTTTCATTACCTTCTTATTTTCTTTAATACCATTGATTCTTTAGAATACATCCATCGTTGCATCAATGCTATAAGTAATTTTAAAAATATGTATGTAGGTATACACAATGCTAACCTGTTTTAATTACCTTCCAAATGCTATTAGTAATATTACCGTCACCGTCCATCACGAAGACACTCTGGAACAAAAGAAACAAAATTAAAAAACAAAAAAGACAGCTTATATTAAGTTTGTAATACACACTCGTTTTTAAATTGTTTGACTTCATGATGTAGGTAATTACATAAACGAGTCGCTAGCATTCTTCCCCGCAGCGTTTTTATAGCTAGATATAAATCTATTCATTGAAAAGTCATTGTAAGTATTTGATAGTCAAAAGAGAAACTTCAGAACAAGAAACTAAGTCTTTTCCTCGTACAAATAGAGTTTAATTTTGTATATTTGAATATCGTCTTTAAAACAGGGTCTTCTTGTTCATGCATAGGTAGGATTGCATCAGGGTATTCCCGAGGAGCATAATATTTTAATTCTTTGTGTTCAATTTGAGTTTGGGTATTAAAACCGATGTTGTTGCGCGAGACGGATCACGTACACCACCCCTGTCAGATCTGCACCTGACTATAACACAAAGGGCTTTGAAGAATAAGAATTAAGACACTTTTAAGGAGATTATTAACAACACAAAAGAGAGTATATTACAGCATTCGCATGGAAACAATTATGTAAACCTAAATCTAAGTTATCAAATATGTAATAATTGTACTCAAAATAAGAAGATAAAAAAAAAATAAAAAAACATAAAAAAATAAAACTATAAGGTAAATTGCGAACAACGCACATAATTAGCATTATACAGTTTCAAATATTTAAACATCTACCAGTAGTAAATCAAAAAATATTTGCTAGATTATAAATTCATAATGGAGAGTCAGAGATCAGAGGAGATAAACCCCGCTTAAATGGTAGTCGCATAACTCACATTACACTTACTTAGAACTTTGAATTGAAATCTATATATATATAAAAGAAAGTCGTGTTAGTTACACTATTTATAACTCAAGAACGGCTTTACCGATATGGCTGAAAATTGGTGAGGAGGTAGCTTAGAGCCAGGAGACGGACATAGGACTATTTATTATGAAAAAAAAAAAAAAAAAAAAAAAACATTTTTGAACGAACTTTGCTTTACTCGGAGATGCCACGTTATTATACTTGGAATGCTTCATCGAATAATTTTTAAAGACGGAAGCAAATAAATGATTAATGTACTTAATTTTTTTTTCTAAGAAAAAAAAAATTACTAAATTCGAAAATAGGCTTATTTATTGCCTTTAAGGCGGAACAGAGTTCGCCGGGTCAAATTCATAATGGAGAGTCAGAGATCAGAGGAGATAAACCCCGCTTAAATGGTAGTCGCATAACTCACATTACACTTACTTAGAACTTTGAATTGAAATAACCATATAATTTCTAGTGCACCTACTCAGACATTTCCCACCACCCAAAGGTAGACCGGGAGAAAATGCTTGTGGCATTAAGTCCGCAAATGTACAATGAATTGTTGTTTGTGCAAAGAGAATTAAAAAAAATAAACAAAATAATTTCTTGAATTCCCAGCAATAAAATTATACACAGAGCCTACACCGCTCAGGCTACAAACTTGAACTTTTATGTTGGAAGCACTAAGAAAGGATATCTGGAAATTTTACCCCTAAGGGAATAAAATAAGCGATGAACTGTTGTATGGACGCTCCTCATTTTCGCAGTTAGAAACACGAAATCACGCGATCGAAGCCGCTGGCAATAGCTAATATTACATTTGAATTAGTTTTGATTCGTCTAAGTAACAATAGCAACAGTTTTCGTTAAGGAAATAAAACTCAAGATTCAAGGGCGGCAAGGCACTTGTGATAGTTGCAGGTTTCCAAGGTTGGAGGTGGTCACTTATGGTCATGCATTCCTCTCTTTTAACAGATTTTTAAAGCGTTTACTACATTTTCCACTTTTCCTTATAAATCCTTGTGTTGCGTTAAGAACCAATAATGTTTTAGCAAAATATGTATATTGCAATAACAATACTTGGTCTAATAATATACTTTTATGCGAAGTACCACTGTCATTAACTTCAGCCGTAATTTGTCATGCTGATGCTTCACTAATTAGTCGGATATTTACTAGAACATTAATTAATTTAACACGAGTAGGGTTAACACGGCGAGCTGACCAGCAAAAAGATTAGATAAGATACTGAAACATTTTCTATCTACATAGGCTTGAATTGAGATAAACTTTTATAGAAGCATGACACGTTGGTATGTGTGTATTATTGAATAGCAGTTTAAGTATGACGTGACGAACTATACGCAATGTAATTCACACGTAATACGGTGAATTTCTAACGCAACAATAGACATCATGTATGAAATAGTTTAG